GGAATAAGTTCATCAGACTAGCGGACAGATCTCCGTCGGGATGGGGATTGATATCGGAGTTGGAAGGGGACGAAATTGCTTCTAACTCGGAGGAGGAGAGACGGTTTGAAAGGGCAGAGACCAAGGCACTTCGTAAGAGACAACGTCGTGAGTTCGTCAGGCCCCGAGGCAGAGGACCTCAAGGATCCGTTAACTCCAGTCCTTATCCTCAACCAACTTTGCAACCAACATCTCAGCCTCCCAATCAGCCCTTTCGTCAGTACTCCGGGCGTCATCACCCCGTCTCCAGGCCATGTTTCTTCTGCGGCGAGGTCGGACACTGGCGAGCCACGTGTCCTGCAGCAGCAGCTTTGCGCCGGTCAGCCCAGCAGAACTCCAGGGAGGGTAGCTCCCCAACAGGACGCAAGAAATACAGTGAGAGACAAAGTCTTGGAGAAAACTAAGGCGGGGAGTTCGTCGGAAACCGTGACTTCCAGCAATTCACATTCTACTTCACCTGCAGGGTTAGAAGGTATCGAACTTGAGGCTAGTGCCATGCATCTGTCTGATAATTTCGAGTTTGAGTCTAGTTCTCATGTTATAGTAAAAGGGAATCTTAAGAATCATGTTGCTTTCTGGAGACAAATTTCTGCTTCTGATTACATTTTGCAAGTCATAGAACACGGTTATGTTATTCCATTTGTCGAAACCCCTCCTCCTTCGTGTAGTCGTAACAACTGCTCTGCATTTAAACATGGCGAGTTTGTGACTGACGCAATTCAACAACTCTTGGCAAATAATTGTATAGTGCAAGTTATACTAAAACCTCAGATTATAAGTCCACTGTCAGTGTCCGTTCAAAAATCAGGCAAGAAAAGGTTAATTTTAGACCTGAGGTTAGTAAATCGTTACGTTTGGAAGGAGAAGATTGTTCTTGAAGGTCATAATGTAGCTTTGAATCTTGTTCATATTGGCGGATACATGTTTAAGTTTGATTTAAAGTCAGGTTATCATCACATTGATATTCACAAAGATCAGCACAAGTTTTTAGGTTTTTCGTGGACAGATAATAACGGTTATATCAAGTATTATTGTTTTACTGTTCTCCCTTTCGGTTTGACTTCTGCACCATATATTTTCACCAAGTGTCTCAGACCACTCGTGAAGTATTGGAGACAGAATTCCGTTGATATCGTCGTGTATCTGGATGATGGGTTCGGCCTCGCTCAGGCTCTAGCTTTATGCAGCAAGCATTCATCTTTCGTTAGATCTACGTTAGCTAAGGCAGGTTTTGTCTGTAACGATCAGAAATCAGTGTGGGCACCTTCAAGACAGCTAGAATGGCTTGGTTTTAACTGGGACCTTGACAAGGGTATCATTTCCATTCCTTACAGGAAACTCGACGATATAAACCTAAGTTTTTCGAAGTTTATGTCCCTGCTACCCAAGTTTACACCAAGAGACGTTGCCAGACTAACCGGTAAAGTCATTTCCCTTATGCCAGTATTTGGAGACGTATGTAGGTTATTAACCAGGCAAATGTATTTGCAGATACAAGGTTACACTCACTGGGATAAAGTTGTTACCTCTTATGATAATCCTGGTTTTGTGTCAGAGCTAGTCTTTTGGAGAGATAATGTTCTGAATTTTAATAGCAGAAGTCTCCAGCAAGAGTTCTCTCCCCTCGTAAGCGTGTTTTCAGACGCTAGTTCGATTGGTTGTGCAGCATTCATTCAGGATACCACCCACACTTTTCACTGTACATGGAATAGTTCAGAGAAAACATTCAGTTCAACTTGGAGGGAATTAAAAGCTGTTGAATTGGCATTGTTGTCTTTTCGACACCTTCTTGGACATAAGTCAGTCAAGTGGTTTTCAGATAATAAAGCATGTTGTCACATTGCTACTTGCGGTAGTTTTTCCCCCGCACTGCAGACGATAGCTCTGTCCATCTTCAGATGTGTAAGGTCAAACAACATAAATCTTCAGTTCTGTTGGATCCCTAGGTCAGAGAATGATAAAGCGGACAGTTTGAGTAAATTCCAAGATTATGATGATTGGACCATATCGGATCGTGTTTTTCAGCTGTTAAACAACAGGTGGGGTCCTCACTCCGTAGACAGGTTTGCCAGTCATATCAATACTAAGCTGAATAGGTTTAACTCCAGATTTTGGACTCCAGGTTCGGAGGCGGTTGATACGTTCACTCAAGATTGGTCTAGAGATAACAACTGGGTAGTTCCCCCTGTATCTTTAGTGACAAAAGCTATCAAGTATGCTCTGAACAATAGGGCTCCAGCAACACTGGTCATTCCCTACTGGCCATCGGCATCGTATTGGTCAATTTTGTTTGATAATGGTACAGTTCGCCCCTTTGTAAAGGATTTTATTCAGTTAAGCGGTAGTACTTCCTTTCAGGGAGGCAGCAGAAAATCTGTTTTTGACAATTTCCAAGGTTATGCATTAGCCATAAGGATATAGAATGGTACTTATGTCACTGGACATTTTCAGAGCTGTTTACCGCTGGAGTGTGGAGTGAGAGAAAAACTCTTCAGGATGAGAGATTACAGATTCTAGCTGACAAGTTACCCGATGTAGTGTTGAAATCAAGGGCGCCAACTACTACAAGCAAGTATAAGAGAGCCTATAAGAACTGGAGAAAATGGGCCTCCAGTTTTGAAGATATTAGTTTTTTCCCAGCATCACCATTTCATGTTTCGCTGTATTTAGTCTCTTTGATTCAAAGCGGTAAAAATAGTTGTAGCATAATAGAAGCAATTTACGGTATTTCATGGGCTCATAGGATCGCAGGTTTCCCAGATCCTTGTGCAGATAACCTGGTTATTAATGTTAAAGAATCAGCAATGAGAACTTGTGTTAAACCTGTGGTTAAGAAAGATCCAGTCACCCCAGATATGTTGTTAAAGCTGGTAAATATGTTTGGTGGGAACAATGCTACTTTGCTAGATTTAAGGTTTTTATCAATGTCTTTGCTCTCATACGCAGGATTTTTTAGATTTTCCGAAGTAGTGAACATAAAAAGAAATGATATTACTTTTGAAAAAGGCTATATAAGTATATTTCTCGGTAAAAGTAAAACTGACGTTTACAGAGATGGGAGAAGTGTTTTGATCTCTCACTAGTTCTCCTACATGTCCAGTTACTATGTTAAAGAGGTATCTTGAGGCAGCAGATATAGTCGATTCTTCCGAAGATTACATATTTAGACAGATGTGTTATTGTAAAAGTAAATCCAAATACAAGTTGAAAGGGAAATCTCCGCTGTCCTATACTAGAGCTAGAGAAATATTCCTAGATAAAATTACGTTCATTGGTGAAGATGCCACTAAAATTGGTTTGCACAGTTTTCGCTCAGGGGGAGCCAGTGCTGCGGCTAACGCCGGTGTCCCGGACAGATTGTTCAAAAGACATGGCCGCTGGGCTTCAGAGACGGCAAAAGATGGTTACGTGAAAGACGATGTTAATTCATTACTCTTAGTGTCTGCAAATTTGGGAATTTGAAGGATGTTTTTGTATGGCAGTTGTTGTTGAAGTTCTTTTAATCGAGGCGCGGTAGACAGCACCCTGGTTGTGCATCAACAGGCCCGTTCTTTCATCTTTTTTTCATATCGAGGATCGCGCTTCCAATAATAACGACTATTGTAGACAGCACCCACGGGCGATGTATTACGACAGTATGTTTTAGTTACAAGCCCCTGTGGTAACATAATTTGTTTCTATTCTGTTCGTTTGAGCGGAGAATCCAGTCTTTTGTCCAATTTCTTTTTCTTTGCTTTGACAATGTCTTCTTCTTCACAATGGCGCAGCAAACAACTTCTGCTATGTCTGCTTCAGCAAGTTTGATAACATGGAAAACAAGTGTAGAAGTGAGCACAGCTCACATATCCCCGCTTCCCACTTTGGGACATGGAAATGACTGATATTGATATATATAATGTGACAAGGATCAGCAGCTCACAAGACTTTCTCCTTGACTCTACTAAACTTTATATACATGTTAGATAATTGTTTTGCCATGTACTGATTACAGTAATAATTTATGGAAACATTACTTTTTTGTGTTTTCCGTGGAAACCTGACATACAATTGAACTTGTTGCACACAATGAAGTGGACGTAGATGAAGATTGTTATTTTTTAGCACATGGCATATCTGTGGGTCATGATTAACTTGTGTATTAAGTTTGGTGAACCTAGCATGTATAGTTTCGATGATATGCTGTGGCCAGGTAACCATCAAACACATTTTGCACCAAGTCATGTTTCCATGGAAACAACAACAAAACAAATTCTGAAAAACTTTAAAATAGCAAAAGGCACATCAATGGGTAAAGATTAACATGTGTGTGAAGTTTGGTGAACCTAGCATGTAAACTTTAAGAGATATGCTCCGGACAAAACCATCAAACACATTGGGCACTAAGTCGTGTTTCCATGGAAACAGCAAAAACAAAATTCTGAAAAAACTTTAAAATAGCAAAAGGCACATCAATGGGTAATGATTAACATGTGTGTGAAGTTTGGTGAACCTAGCATGTAAACTTTAAGAGATATGCTCCGGACAAAGTTTCAGGACTAATGGATGGACGGACAGAGAGACGGACAGACGGACGGACAGACAGAATGAATGCTATATACCCCCGTTACTTCGTAGCGGGGGTATAAAAATATCGTGAGGTATTATGAGATCAACAATCAATTGACACATGAGATCATGTGAACAGTAGCAAATCGATTAGTCAATATTTCTTAAAACTGACAAATATGTTCTACAAGGTACAGTAACTGCCTGGTCCTTATCAGGGACGTAGCTACCATTATAAAAATAAAGCCTGGACTTACACATAATTGTTGCTAAGAAGGTTGGGCAAGTCCTCAATACTATCTAAATAAAAAGCTTTGCAACCTATCGGGCTTACACGAACCAACTAGCTTGCTGTGTGCCTGGTTATATATAACGGGCCAACCCGTGTGAGTGATACATCAGCAACATGAACATGGTTTCATTGAAATCAAGTATTTAATTCAACTTTCATCTGATTATACAAACATGTAAGTACTGAAGCCGGGGACATTGACATGTAACTCTGCTTATCACAGGGACACTTACACACATGTCGTCCCTATGTCGTAGTAAGTGCCAAGAAGTTCTAAATTCCTGGCATCTCACTTCATTTGCAACATACCTGAAATAACTACATCTCCAGCTGCCTTGTCAGTAAATAGTGTTAAATCTGCTTTGGTTGTCCTCCAGTTAAGTCCCCAGAAAAAGGATGTCACATACCGGTAATTCAGGTGAATTATTGGGGACACAATTGCCATACAAAAGGAACACCAGTAAGTACCAAATGGCTTTTGTATTAGCCTCTAGTAGAACTGATGGTGTGACGCACAGGTGAGCATTATTAAAATACCAGAACTAAAATCAGAAAAGAAATCTTTGGGAAATCACAATGCCATATTATGACATTAATCCCAGTACCATTGTCTAAAATCTATTGATCCTTCAACAACAACATAATGATGTAGGCTTGTGAGACACCAACTATTCTTTTCTTTCTCCACATTAAACATATGTACATGTACTCAACAAAAACACAAACAGACTGACTTGGACTGGCACAAGTTACCATTCCTTGACACTATTTAGGAAATCTGTGTTATTTCCTGGCAACAAATCAGCTGCATCCCATTTAGGAGTTACAACCATTTTGTCCTCAGTTCATACCAGACTAAAACTTCTTAATGATACAACATTTCTGTATCCACAAGTTCTGTATCCACTTCCTTTCTCCATCACCTGTGAATACCTGACACCAACCATTCCTGGCAATGTCGGCTTCCAGGGGCAGGATATATGACAGAACACACAAGGTATATCACACACGCTGCAACATTTCCAGTGTAGCATGTGTCATGGTCTTTTAATTGTCTACTCTCAACATCACTTCCATTTTAGGTAGGTTGGGTTCATAAACCAGCTCATGTCTGAAATAGAGCTTTTTACTTCTGTGTGTCACAAATAGCCCAAACATTCCATATTGGTGCCACATGTCTATGGGTCCATATTTAGCCTTGGTCTTGAGATTCCACAGACTGTCATGGCCACTGAAATCGTTGTTCATCAAGATTTGTCTCAACATTCCAGTCACAACTGTGACATAATCACAAAAGGACAAGTCTTGTTATGAGTTACTGATTTGAATCAAACTTTTTTTCCAACTTTCCCCAAAAGTATTCATTTTCTGCCTGATAGAGGATTCCTTGAATAATTCTTAATGAAGATGGCATATCATTAAAGTCTACATCAACCAGCAGTGGCAAGAGTCGGTTTGTAAATGTTGTGCCCAACACTGAATTATAAAGCCCTGTATGCATTGCAAATCTCTGGAAGGTGCTCTCGAAGAACGACTTTGACAGAAGCATGATATAGGCCTTGCAGTTATCAAGAGCAAAATCTAAATTCTCTATTTCTGTACGCCCTGGCTTGGCATCACGGTCATCCAGATAGCCCCTGAATTTTCCCTGCCTCTCCAACCGTTCTGCAATTTTGAATGCTTCATTTCTGTCACTGTCAGAGTAAAACACCACAAAATCATATCCATCAATGGAAGATGAATGTCCCTCAGCTGGTAGCCTTTTGACTTCAGGGTCAACACTGGAGTCGCAACTGAGGTCACCACTGAAGCCACCCCTGCCACTAGCCATATTTCTGCTGGTTCCTGCAACAAGACAAATGTTATGCCAGTGAGTGAGCGACATATTCTAAAGAGTTTCTGATCATTTGGTATCCTAGTGGTTAAACTGTTCACTGGTCATGCCAAAATCCAGTTTCAAATCCCCACATGGGTGAAATACATGAATCCCTTCTCTGGTGTCCCAAAACCATATTGCTGGAATATTGCTAAAAGCAGTGTAAAAACCATATTCGTTCACTCACTCATTCTGGGACACTGACTGATTGTCATCAAATGTCTTTTCAAAGTTATAATATAGATGAATGTCCTATCAAAAAGAGATGCCATAATGTGTCCATTTATAGCGCCAGACTCCACACCAGGTTTAGAATCAAAGAGCTAATCAAAACACAGCACATTATTACCCTGGATAACCCAAGCTGCCTGTGAGGCACTAGGGGGTTAACAGTCACATGACCTATCCCACCGGGTACCCATTTTCTGCTGGGTGAACAGCAGCAATTTTGAACAAACTCACTTGCCTAAGGTATATCACACAAACACAAGGATCACATGTGCTGACATGATAAAAATGCCCTCATATCTTTAAACAATCTGTCAGCGCTAACACCTTTACATGTAAATGATTAACTGGAAACATGAATAATGCCATTGTCATTAACAAACAACAGAATCATTTAGATATATAGCACACATGCTTTGAAATATACTTATACAAGGCTGTCGCTTAAACAATGGTCTTAATTGCAGTGAAGCTCACCATAATTAGGGCTCCTTGCCTCTTGGCAGGAGACCTATTGTAATCGTTCGGATTATTATTATTATTATTATTATTATTTCGCGATTTTTGTACCAAACATACCTCCTAAACCAATGCTTCAAATCGCTTACAAAAAATCACAGATGCCTACCAAGGTGAAGATATTCCCTTTAAAAATCTCTAGGCTCTAGGCCCAATAGCAAAGGGGAGATAATTCAAAATTAATTCCAAAATTTCAAAGTTTGACAGCAAATATCTCAAGAACTAATTGTTCCAACACTTCCAAATCTCTTGTACAGATGCACAATCGAATTCCCAACAATTTTGCCTGGACGGGTCAAGTCGCTAAAATGTAACGTTTGGCAGTTATTTTTGTTTTCAGTTTTTGGCCATGTTTTTCAGCAGTTTTCTGAGTAGTTTGTGCCCAAAATGTGCTGAGCTCCAACCATCAGCTCTAGACATTCCAAACTTTCCATAACTGATGTCCAGTAACCATTGTGCAAATTCTGCACAAAAAGTGCCAGTATGGTAGATGAAGTCTTGGTGATTCCAGAACACTAATTGTTTTGACCGTAGACCCAAGAACAACTGGGGGGATACAGCCTTTTAAAGAGGGAACCATTTCTTCTCCAGAACTTCTTAAAAGGTACATCACCCCGGCGACTCCGGCTGTATATGGAAGATCCGCTCGCCTGTCAAAAACGTGTTCTGGCTCCGTTTTGGACGATGATTTCTAGCCCTCAAATAGAATAGATAGAACTACAGCCAAGGAACCCTCATTGTTGCTTGCAACTATATTTAAATATATAAATCCTGACAAGTGAGCATGTGCTTAACATGCATTTTATCCATATAAAGCCTTTTTACAATCAAACATGTTCTAATTGATTTATGTTTGCATATGACTTCAAACTTATTTTCCAGTTATATGTCTCTGATACCACTCAGCATAACTGATAAGACACAGATATTTACAGCAATATTGAAATAAGTTATCTGGGAAAACGTATATCCTTCCTGAAACAAGCTTAATTGGTGACCATAATAGTGGCTAACAAACTGTTCTAGGCAGCAAAAATATAATAATGAATTAACTATACCATACCAGCAGGGAAAGAAACCTTTCAAAATTAGTATTTATTTCACACTTGACCACAGAACCAGGGAGTGGACAGAAATTAGTGGCCCTTTCTGTACTTCACTGGTCCAAAATAACATTCATAGATTTACTTAATTATCTATACAGAATTCACTGGCCACCAGCTGAGATGCCAACCCCTAAGTGTTGCCAATAGTAGTTTCAAGGATCAGAAATAGTAGATTGACCATAAAATTAGTAGTCAACCGAATACTTAAAATCATGATGGATTCTATGAAAGATATTATGACACTAATCAAGAGTGAAGCTTCAATTTCACATACCTCAAACAGAAGATTTCCACATTGTCATTTGCAATGATTCCAGTTCAAATGTGTCATAACATTTGATGAATGGAAGGTAAGTGAAGTCAAAAATGTATCTAACTCGACAAAAATATATTCTTGTCCATATCCGAATTTTCATGAAGTTTCTTCAAATTTCATAGAATTTCTAGTGCAATCATAGCGACAATGATCAAATAGTAGAGTTTGGCATCTCTGCACCAGGACCATTGCAAACATATTTTTTAGATTACGATTACTTCAGAAAAATAGAGGAACATGAGATTGATTGTCAACTGTATGAAAATTTTGATCTGTGTAAAGAAATTAGTCAGTTTTAAGAAATGTATGTTTTCTCAAAATCCTGGTATATATGTACTTAATCATAACTTTGCACTTGGGTTTTATCCCAAAGACACGAGCTATATGTATTAACCCTATCCATGTTATAAGTTATTCCCAAATGTGCACCTATATAGGATTCCAAGCAGGACTTTGGCACACAAAGGGTAGCTTCAAGGGGGGGTAGGGAAAGACTTCCGATCGTATCCCCCCTTAACCCTATCCTAACCCTAACCCTTATCCTGATAATTTAATGTCTGTATGCACAATGTCATTTTTAAACTGGTGTTGGGGTAGTTAAAGCGTTTGTTCATCACGCTGAAGACCCGGGTTCGATTCCCCACATGGGTTCAATGAGTGAAGCCCATTTCTGGTGCCCCCTGGCGTGATATTGCTGGAATATTCCTTAAAGCGGCGCCATACTCACTAACTCATCAGCTTCATGATGCGATTATTCATGAATGGCCCACACTTGACTGCAAGAAAGGGTGATAAGGGACCGTTAATCATTTATGGCTTGGGGTGTGGGGGGTTGGGTTTTCAGATGATTTTAAGGGGGGTCACCCATTTTGTTCTGGTGAGAGGGGAGGGGTCAGCAATTTTGTACACACGTAATAGGGGCGTCAGCAATTTTGTACATAAAAATATGTTTAAATTTATGCTTAGAAATTATGGGATGGAGAGGGGTGTAATTGATTTTGTACATGACATGCAGGGGGTTCACTTATTTTGTACATAAATTGTAGGGGGGTCATTCACATTGTACATGCTTCTCCATAAAAATCATCATCACCCACAGAATGATAAATTATGAACGGTCCCTAACAGCCTAATATTGACATGACAGTGTGAGCTGCAGGTGAGTGTCAGCTATACGTCCGAGCTAGTGGCCGACAGCGTGAAGTACTAATGTTCCAGTTGCCGAGAGCCGCGGTAGCCTGGTCCTGTCCGACTGTCAATACATGGCCGTACATTCTCATTTCCTCAAGCACTTGATACCGTCCTGACCGTCTACCAGTCAAAACAACTTGCATTTAATCACACTTTGACAGCGACTAAACAGTGACATTACTGTAAGATACAGTTTTATCGATATTTAGCTGTTAGGTGTGATACTGCATTGCTTATCACAAAAATACATTTCCCTCACCGTGACAGACCTCTCCGGCTCGACTTCTGGAAACATGCTTGTATACTTCCGTATTTGAGAGTTATCTCCCCTCCCAATAGACTTTCGATCATTTGTTGACTGTCTGGGTAGTGTACTCGAAGAAGAATACTATATATGTGTTAATGTGGCAGATTCAACTTTGTATTGTATAGTTGTAAATATAATAAACATGTGAATCTTTAAAAGTTGTGTGTCATATTATGATGAGATATACAATCTCATTAAATAACCTAAGTCTAATCATTTTATCAAAAATTTTATATTCAACATTTTATAACACACCCTTAGCCCTTCTAAACATCAATCTAATCTTAAATGTAATCTATTTCAGCAATACTCATTTGCACTGCATGCTTTTCTCCCTGCAATCCCTTCTCAGGCATGTCCCTTGCTCAGGCTAGTGTGTAAGTTCTATTGTTCTCTGTTCAGCCAAGCGTATAAGGTATTAGGTATGTAAAGGTTAATTTCATCTAGTCTCTTGGTCAGTATCTTATGTGGTTGTCATCACGCATGTTGAGGTTTTGTCCATATTCTCTAGGATCGAGATCATGGTGATCTGGACTGTTTTTTCCCATGTATATAAGGTTAGTAATCTCTAGCCTTGTGTATACATGTGTATATTTATTGTGGTTTTGTGTGTGATAGTTGATGGTTATATTGGCTATAGTTTAAAGTATGTTTAATCTCAGTATCCACTTTCTACTATGTGTAAATATTTTATGTGGTGGTAACTCACAGTATAGTGAGTTATGACATTGCTATTAGTGTAGGTTATAACTCTCATCAGAGTGAGTTTTATAGTTTGGCTCACAGTATAGTGAGTTAGGTTAATGTTAGGTTTTGACTCACAGTACAGTGAGTTGTGTAAGTGTTATATTATATATTTATAGCATTACATATAATCATTAATTATATTCCATCTAAGTATAATATTTCCAATAATCTTATTTTCCATATTCCTATCTCATTAAAGCATTATTACTATTAGCATTATTATAGCTACCATAAATAAGGTGCGTGTGTGGATGTATGTGCGTATGTGTGGTTAGATGTGGTTGTATGTAGCTTTTACCGTAGTTACTCTTTTAATCATTTGTTGTAAATATCATCTGCACATGGAATTTATTCATCCTGCAGATGACGTGAACACCAGCAGTGTTACCTATGCATTGAATGCAGGAGCTCATGTCATACCAACCTGATATGTTATCATTGTTATTTCAATTATATTTATCATTGTATATTATGTAACATCTATCATATGTGTAAATGTTTATAGTATCAATGCCATGTAATATGATTAATACATGTGTATAATTCATGTGCATCAGCAAATCATGTGTATTACCATGATATTATTCATTTATATATCTGTGGAGTTGTCACGGTAACGTGTTGGCAACAGTAGTTATAATTAGTTATGTATATACGTGTACGTGTGTGTTTAATTAAGTATTTGGATAAGTTAATTCACTTGTTATGTAGTAATGTGATTCCTGTCAATTATTGATTGTAAACTTATATTGTCATTTTAACATGTTTCAGGCTAAAGCTTTTGTCTATTACATTCGTTCCAATAAAAGTCCATCCGCCTCACACCCCAGCGGCTTTGTGGTTCTTGTTAGAACAATAACTACATCCTGATGCTACTACATTAATACAGCTCATCAAATGATTATTTGGTAAAACTACTCCGCCAGTAAAATCTCTCCCTTGTTATATTTTTAAATTATAACATCTGACTGGATGTATTAAAAAATTTATTTATGTAAATTTCCTGACCTTATTCTCGAAACGTTCGCAGTCCTAAGAATTCTTAACTTTGATTGTAGTCAATGTGTTAAGAATGGGCTTAAGAAGTTCGTAGGGCTACGAACGTTTCGAGAATAGCTAGCCTACTGCACTACACTACGGATTGAAATCTTTACGAACATTTTCACGGTTTTGTTAACATTTTACATAGATCGCCATATCACAAATACATTTGCCTGGATATGGCAATGAGGAGCGTTATATTGTCTGAGTGTACTTGCCTTTATCATCCTTTGAATTTTTTCTGAGTCTTATTTCTAAACTGAAAATGTATCGCATATGTCAATGAGTTTATGCATATTATATCAAGCATCTCTGCATTACAAGCTATTAAATGCAGGTTAAGTAACAGACTATTCAATTAGCGATAACGTGTGTCAAGATATTTGCAGTTTGTTGTATTATGTTGTTTCTCCTGCATGGCCTTCATAGCTCTTTCACACAAACAAAACACCAAACTGGACGATTATTCAAGCCATTTATTTCCAAAACAGCAAGAAAACTGTTGATGAAATCGACTGCAGTACAGACTGACAACATATATACCGGTATTTGTCTGAGGGGATCATGACAGAATAATGCTCCTATCTGCTTAGTTGTGGATGCTCCATATGAACACTGATGCATGGTAATACTTTGTAATACCACAGGGGAGAAGAGAAATGTGTTGGAAAATGCATAAGTGGACAGGTTTTTGTCCCCATCACACCAAGCACTGGAGAAGTGAAAAGCAGTCCCAAGAAAGACACGTCCATCACGACAGGTAACTTGATGTCATAAGCCACTATAACACTGTATATGATTTTGGCCTTAAGGGGAATCTGGTATAAGGTGACTTTCCAACACTACCATTAGTAATATTAACCACTCAAACCAAACTACTGAACACCTGTTGTGTTTTCATATGACTATAGTTAGCCTGTCACAACTGATGGGTACTGCGACACAGTTTTCAAATTGAGGGTGTTCTGTAACTTGTCTTGAGTAGTACACTATTGCTAATGCCCAACAATGAACATATCTGTATAACTCACACCTGACCATATCAGTTCCATTACAGTATGTTAGCACCTGCAAACAATACCAGTTTTGCCAAATCCATTTTCCTGAGTATTAATATAAATTCATAAGCAAACATCCATTACAGAGGCTTTTTGTGTGGACATGTATGTTCCTCAATACATAACTACTTTCCTTAACAAGTACAGGACCCTGTATCGGATCCTATAGTAACCAAGATATGTCGGAAATTCCAATCAATCTGAGAAAATAACATCTCAAATGCTTCATACCCTCAGTTTCCTGCATAAATAATTAGGTATTAATTTGTGCAAAGTAGCAGTCAATAAAACTAGCAGTAAATTAAACAATAAATACTAATTTAAACAAAAAGCCCCTAAAAGAATCATTAGGCAAAGTATTTTTCTTATTGCAAGTAACAACCTGTCCTGAATGGCTCAGAAGTAAAAAGAAAGTACAGCACAACATAGTTTCAATATTACCACCAAAATATCATCCTTACTTAATGACTACTTTCAGTTTTGGTTGAAATTGCATTTAATATGTATTGGTTTGAAGGTTTATGGCTGAGTCAAATTAATACTAGCAGACATAGTAAATACTGGGAATTTTCTCACATATTTACTTCACTTCTTATTTCACATCTTAATATTTCATTCCATTTTTGCCTCCAGTCATTTAGGTATTCAATAGGTTCCACAACATTCAAAATTATGGATGTCAAAGGATACATTTTCCTTTATATATCTTTTAACAAAAGAACTTTAATCACTATCATAAGCATTATTGTTTACAAGCGTAGACTCATTTTCACACTTCATATCATTTGCAAGTTTAACCATGTTCTTTGTCAATACCGTCACTCAACAATGTAACAAGCAGATTTGGTGAAATGATTATTGATACCAATATCATAACACATTAAGCCCTAATTTCACCAGGGGTTGGGTTAATAGTGTATGTAATCACATAGCATATGTGCAAAAGAAAGTCTCTTCACAAAACAAGCACATTCTTTTCAGTCAAATACACAGTGACTCTGTTGTACGGCCGCTTCAACTCATTCAAAGATGAACATTAACAGATGATTATGATGATACAAAGCTGGATGTTAATTTATTGTGAGTACAAAAAGATTTATCACAACACAGAAATCATTTTGTTTTGCTTGGGAGCGACACATTCCACAATGGAACACAAACAAAGATATTATATCTGGCCTACCAGCCTCACACCACATGAAGAATGGAACTGTGAAAGGTAGCCACTTTACATCAACAAACCAATAAGCTTCTTAGCAATCAAAAGGAAAACCAATTCCAGAAATCATTTTTCGAAAACTGACAGTAGTGGGTTTGGTTAGATGCAGTTTGGAACAGTATTTCAGTTGTATCACGTTCAACAACCAGACCCATGGCCACTAAAATAGCTCGCCTATATTCAATCCCACCTATAAATGGTCACTAAGTGGTGGGTCGTCATATCAGCGAAATATTCTCAAGCATGTTAAACCCAATTTCACCTCACCTCACTAAGTGGTGGAAATCACAACTGTTAATCAGATGACACGGTTCTTGTTATGAATATAGCAGAAGCACTGTGAACATGCCGTACAGCAAGATTTAATGATGCATTTTGCAGTTTACAAAAGTGATAATTTCATGCAAGATAAATATCCATAGCTGTAAAATTATGGAATTGTAAAGATTTTCTCCAGTAACTAGTAACCTTCTACTTCATACCATGTCTCCACATCTCATGCACGTTTGAGTGGAGAAACATCACTTTCTAAGACACTGACACAGAATCTAGTTTCCCATATACCATGAAACATTATGTTGTATTTTGACAAAACAGTAGCTGTTACAGTTACTCATAATAATGTAAGCTTGTGTACTGGAAAAACATTTTGATTAAGATCTGACAAATGGGAATATGTCCCATATATGACCAATGTTGATGTTAAAGATGGCTTTGACAACCTATTAGCATACTCTTGAAGTCTCTTGGTGTGAGTTATAGTAACAACTTGTAGCATGTGACTTATTAACAATACAGATTGTAACAACTGTTTTTAGTGTAGGTTTTAAGTCGCATACAACTGGTGTCTCACAAGATACTCATGCATGAGTTGACAACATGGATTCATCAAGTGAAGAACAGATGCTAGCTTTAATGTCAGTATCAATACTGCAGTCACTTTAAAAAAAGAAAAGAGTTCTAAATCTGTGTGGTTTCACAACTAAATTCTCAAGCGAAACACTGTTCAATTCCTTCAAATTTCTCAGAAATAATGTCATCACAAACAAAGGGATGTCACGCTAAGCGGGACACAGATCTAAGTGATTTCATTGGTTGAGATCCTGTGACTTGTAGTATAAATTGGGACAAGTCCTATGTCTTACAACTCAGCAATAACTAGTTGAATGGGATTCTAAATCGCTACAGCTAGGGTGTTTTGACACTGCAGCTGTGTTGCATGCTACAAGTTGTTACTACAAGTAGCACTATGAGAACGCACCTTTAACATCTACACATACCACCAGCATATTTTGAGGCTGAGCATCCAAGATACAGCTATGTACATAGCTCTTCCATTCTTAATGTTCATTCTCAACTAGATATTTATGCCCAGAAGAAATAACTTCTTTCTTCAATACTGTAAACAATTCAACTATAACTTTTGTAAACAATTATTTGTAACTTTATTTGTAACCTTGTACACCAAGGCTCTTGGGCACCATCATTTCAATATCAAGTTTCCGTAGTGTGAGACAAGACTGTCGTAGTGTATCACTCTAACCAGGTTATCTTGTTAAAATAGTTGTTTACAAGGTTTCACTGTTAACTAAGTGACTCAACAAACTAAAAGTGGAGAGAAAGAAAACTCTGTATATCTTGAAGTGAGGGATTCAACCTTAAATATATAAATTAACCATACAATATTGGCAAAACATCTGTGAAACATAAAAGTGAAATTAAAGGAAGGAAAAAAGACATAAGCACAGATCTGGTGTTCCAAGTGTAACCTCTGTTTATCTGGAAGAGTACAATTTTCAACCAACATATTGTCATATACATAACAAATAACTTGCTCATTTAACAACTCTGCTTGATGAAATGCTCATAAATTTTCTACCCTATTCTTGAAATGATCAGTATTCGTTCCATGTAAATCCTTCCGTCACCTACAGACCAAGTCATCCACGCTGGTAAAGTATAAGTAATGGAAATTGTTTAACACTAATCATGCTTTGCCTCCAACGAAGATACAATTCTATTTTTTTTTCTTTTGGGGCATCACAATATCACAGTTTTCAAGTATGTGTTTGACGTTTGTCAATCTTTTTCTTAAAATCATGTTAGAATGTATGAAACTAATGATAAAATTGTCTTACAGGGCTTAAACAGAAGCAACAGAGTAGAGCTTGATTAATATGTACATTTTTAATTTTTCATCCAAATATATGATACTGTGAAATAAAAAAAATGTACAATTGTGCCAGATGTATATAAATATATACATGCAAAGATCATTTACTAACCTGCACAGGTAAAAAAAATCTTTTTTTCCCTTGGCAGTTTGGTTACCAAGGTAATCATTATGATTCAGAGTGAATTTATTAACTAATACACAAAATCAGTACCTATCATAGTCCACTGAATGTCACTATTTCAAAGCCATGTGGTGACATATCCTTGTTTCCTTATTTTCACAACAAAGAAATCCTCTTAAAGCACAGTTTTTCTTTTATTTTAACCACATCATCTTTGTTGTAGAAGCCTATCAATGGCTGCATTCACATCACCAAGGGTAGCCGTCAACGCTGAAAATTACAAAACAACAATCAGTCAGGGTTTCAGATCAGTTCATTTATGAGTTAGTCAGTGCGTTTAGGTTTTACGCTGCTTACATCAATATTCCAGCAATATGATGACACGGTCATCAACAGAAATGGTCTTCACACATTGTACCCCTGTGGGGAATCGACCCCAGGTCTTTAACCACTAGGTTACCACACCATCCCTGTTCATTTATGACCTGGTGTACCTTGTCTTCCAAAATGTTCTAAAGATTTTATTTAAATGTGGCAAAAGCATACACCCTATCACATGATGACAGTCATGATGATATGCTACGCAATTTGTTTCAGTAAAATCAGTAAAATCAGCCTTCATCACTTCCATAGAGTTTGCTTTGGTTGTTGTTAAAAGCTGCACTCAGCAATATTCGAGTCTGGACCAGACAATCCAGTGATCAACAGCATGAACATCGACCTACACAACTAGGATGCCATGATATGTGTCAACCAAGTCAGTGAGTCTGACCACCCAATCCCGTTAGTCGCCTCTTTCGACAAGCATGGGTTGCTGAAGACAGATTCTCACCCAGATCTTCATGGGTAACTTCCATAGAGCAAGTGGAAGGGGTGTGCTATCTACAACTTATAATTTCTTTCTCTCTTGGTATCTGTGTTGACTAGCCTATTTCACACTGTTCTCACCATACAAACCAACAGATTACTCACCTCGTATGTTTGCTTCTCTATCTACAAAGCCCATAGATGTTAACTGTTCTAGCTGGGATGCGTACCTCATATCTGGGGGTTGGTTCTACATGAAGAGATGCAAGAATTAGTTCAACTGCAGACATCCTTAAAATCACAAGAGTTAAGTGATTGATACCATCAAGTAATGTCAGTGTGAGTGAGTTTGGTTTTATGTTGCTTTTAGCAATATTCTTGCAATATCACCGAGGAAGAGTACCACCCAATACTGGATACTGCAGTGTCATGTCCATGTACCACCCCCTACAGCTGTGTCATGTCCATGTACCACCCCCTACAGCTGTGTCATGTACATGTACCACCCCCTACAGCTGTGCCATGTCCATGTACCACCCCCTACAGCTGTGTCATGTACATGTACCATCCCCTACAGCTGTGTCATGTCCATGTACCACCCCCTACAGCTGTCATGTAGTGGTGGTCCGATATATTGAAATAATCAAAGATTGGTCGCAGTAGCGAAACGACCAAGCAATCAAATATGTTTTCTAATAATCGAACAAAATCAATTTTGGAACACTTGTTTGCATCAACAATATTTTCACAAGGTTGGTTTTGTCTGTGTGATTAAATTTACATTTCATTAGCACTACAAGTTCGTTCCATGTCATGAATGAGTTTATATTCCTAACATACTAGTCATCCTTTAAATACATGAAATATGCAAATGCATTTTGTGCAATTTGCAAACAACCCCAAAGAACTGCATATTTTTTCTTTATTTTGTGTGTGCATTGACAAAGGTAACATGTACATTTGATAAATGACACTAACCAATTATTTTCGATGATTGATCGGTTGTAATGGACCAATCATCAATTATGATATTTAAACAAATTCCAAACACTAGTGTCATGTCCATGTACTACCCTCTACAGCTGTGTCATGTCCATATAACAGCCCCTACAGCTGTGTCATGTCCATGTACTACCCAAAACACTGTCACGTCCATATACCACCCCCTACAGCTGCCATGTCCATGTACCACCCCTACAGCTGTATCATGTCCATGTACTACCCCATACAGCTGTGTCATGTCCATATACCACCCCTACAGCTGTGTCATGTCCATGTACTACCCGATACACCTGTGTCATATCCATGTACTACCCAAACACTGTCATCTCCATGTACCATCCCCTACAAAACACTGTCCCCATATACCACCCCCTACAGCTGTGTCATGTCCATGTACCATGTCCTCTACAGCTGTGTCATGTCCATATATACTACCCAGCTGTGTCATGTCCATGTACAGCTGTGTCATGTCCATGTACCACCCCCCACAGCTGTGTCACCCCCCTACAGCTGTGTCATGTCCATGTACTACCCAAAACAGCATGTATACCATCCCTACAGCTGTGTCCATGTCCATGTACTACCCCCACAGCTGTGTCATGTCCATATACTACCCCATGTACTACCCCTACAGCTGTGTCCATGTCCATATACCTACCCCCCACAGCTACCAGCTGCTGTCATGTCCATGTACTACCCATTACAGCTGTGTCATGTCCATGTACTACCCAAAACATTGTCACGTCTATATACTACCCCTACAGCTGTGTCATGTCCATGTACTACCCCCTACAGCTGTGTCATGTCCATGTACCACCCCCCACAGCTGTGTCACGTCCATATACAAACCCCTACAGCTGTGTCATGTCTATGTACCACCCTCTACAGCTGTGTCACGTCCATATACCACCCCTAAAGCTGTGTCATGTCCATGTACTACCCATTACAGCTGTGTCATGACCATGTACTGCCCCCTATAGCTGTGTCATGTCCATATACTACCCAAAACATTGTCACGTCCATATACCATCCCCTACAGCTGTGTTATGTCCATGTACCACCCTCCACAGCTGTGTCACGTCCATATACCACCCCCTACAGCTGTGTCATGTCCATGTACCACCCCCTACAGCTGTCACATCCATATACCACCCCTACAGCTGTGTCATGTCCATGTACTACCCCATACAGCTGTGTCATGTTCATGTACTACCCTCTACAACTGTGGCATGTCCATGTACCACCCCCTTCAGCTGTGTCATGTCCATATACCACCCCTACAGCTGTGTCACGTCCATGTACAACCCCCTACAGCTGTTATGTCCATATACCACCCCTACAGCTGTGTCACAGCCATATACCACCCCCCTACAGGTGTGTCATGTCGGGGCGATGGGGTAGCCTAATGGTTAAAGCGTCGGCTCGTCACACCGAAGACCCGGGTTCGAATCCCCACATGGGCACAATGTGTGAAGCCCATTTCTGGTGTCCCCCGCCGTGATGTTGCTGGAATAATGCTAAAAGCGGCGTAAAACCAAACTCAGTCAGTCAGTCAGTGTCATGTCCATATACTACCCCCTACAGCCGTGTCACGGCCATATACCACCCCCTACAGGTGTGTCGTGTCCATATACCACCCCCTACAGCTGTGTAATGTCCATGTACTACCCAAAACACTGTGTCACGTCCATACTCCAACTGTGCCTTCAGGAAACAAAATTGCATTATGTGTTAGGTTCAGTCTAAGTAAACTTAGACTCAGTATTATTCGTTACACTGCTATACTGAGTCTAACAAAACCTTGTGGAAGGTCACGTCAGGGAACCTTTGAGCGACCTATGACCGTCCAATCACAGGCGAGATGGCCGAACAGATTTAACCAATCAGACAACAGCTACTATTTAGGGTTTAGCGGGACTTACAAAATGGATTTTCTCGTCCCCGGTCGCCAACACTGATCTCCCAACAAATGAAAATTCGCACAAAACACTGATATTTGACCTGCAGTATATACACTTTGGGGTTCCTGTTGACATGGTTATAATTAGCTAATATTTCCGCAAGGTGACATGCTTTAATACTGACAAAACGTTATTTTCAGCGAATGTTTACTCACTGCAGTGGCATGCATCACTAGGAACCGATCGTACGGAAAATAGCATTCTGAATCGTTCGGGTCCAAACTTTTCCGAGCTAAAAGTTTGAAAGGTATGTGCGAATGTCCACTTTCGCAATTTTGTAAGCTGTGTTCTGATTGGTCAATTGGGAAAGGTTACCTGACGCAACCTTCCACAAGGTTTTGTTAGACTCAGTATAGCAGTGTAACAAACAAAACTGAACCTAAGTTTACTTAGACTGGTGTTAGGTTTAGGCTCATTCCCATATCCTCATTAACTATTTCATTGTATGCATTATCTTCTAATACAAAGGAACAGAAACATCTGATTATTTCATTATTACCTAGACCCTATTTTATGGTACAATGTCTTACGATTACTATTGTGCAGCGAGGTCAACACTGACCGCCTATTTCTCACAAGTTGACTTTTCATTCACTAATTTTGTCCTGGAATGTCCACAGGGAACATAAATAGATTCATAAATACTGGAGGTGAATGTGGCAATAAGATAAAGTGACATGTGGCACCCACCATCTGACCCCCAACCATCATCTGCATCATTTGAGCCATCATATTATTAAACTGGTCTGGGTTTCCTGGGTCCGGCGCCCTCCCCGTTCCTGCTCCTATGGGTGAAGCGGGAGATGTAGTGGTCCCCGCTGTTGTTGTTGCCGTGGTGGGGGAGGTAGGGGAAGTGGTGCTGGCTGTACTTGTGGTGGGGGTACTGTCACCTGATAGGTTCGGCATGCCAACGAGTCTGTAATATGAGAGAATGTTGTTTAAGCTGCAGACATGTTCAACAGCCAGTGTTCAATGAAAGCAGGACAAACAATAAAGTAAAACATTATTAGCCAAGACAAGACAAGATTTTATTAGGTCAAAAACTAAAATAATTGTGAAATTAGCAAAGTCTTTATCCTAACTCCAATTAATATTCAGGAAATGTTACTGTCATACTTTCACGCCACATATTTCAAGAAAATAGATCCCACATATTCAACATGCTGTCCTATAAAGAATCTAACAAGATTGGATGTCTATGCTTGATATCGGAATATCGTATCCCATGTGCATAGACAGATGCTCATCGAGTCAATCACATCATTGTCTGGTGAGGATTACATGTGTAACAGATCGCCATCATATAACTGGAATACTGCTGAGTGTGGCGTTTATCAACAAGGTAATAAAGCAGTATGACAGATCCCCAAGGGGGGCTTGCCAAGAATCGTGGCAAACCAATCAAATCGCGCGAGTAAAACGCATTTCAAAGCATGAAAATGGCGGCACCATTGAACATTGAAACTTCGCTGACTTTGCAAAGCACAATTTAAACATAAACTTTGAGCTAAAGGATCAGCAACTTTCAATACTGAAACATACTGACAAAGGGAATGACTGTATAGTTGTTTTGTCCACGGGATACAGTTATAGGATATTCTTGGAGTAGCCATGTTTGGAAATTCAGAGTTATCTTTCCTTGGTACTAGTACTAGACATTATTATATTCTTAAGGGTGTATATTTCATCTCGTGGTCTGACAAAGTTGATATGTTCACTCGTGGCTGCACCATTTGTGAACATATCCTCAGGTTATCAACTTTGTCAGACCACTCGATGAAATATACATGTTATTTGACAACATTAACAAAATATCCTCTATATTTTCATCTCTGTGCCCGTTTACGCTTAGACAGGGCCTAGTCATAAACATGGCCACGAGAGGGGTACAACACGCCACCCGGCTTGCCGGAATGACACGAGTAGTTATGAATGCTTTCAGTTATCTCCTTCTTCCCTACATAACTACAGTTATCTCCCCTATCTTACAAACCATACAGTCATCTCCCCTTAACCTAAATCCCCAACAGTTACTTCCCTCTACCACTACAGTTATCTCCCCTATCTTACAAACCCTACAGTCATCTCCCCTTAACCTAAATCCCCAACAGTTACTTCCCTCTACCACTACAGGTATCTCCCATTACCCAAAGCTCCTACAGTTATCTGCCCTACCCTGGGAAAGCACCCGGTGACTCATGCTGCAGTTGCTGTAGCCCCTGCTGGATCTGCATGATGGCGGACATTGCTCGTGGATTGGTCATCATGGTCTGCATCTCTGGGTTCTGCATCTGAAACAACAAACAACAAACTGTCTCTGCTGAACTGACCAGGGAGGGCGATTTCACACACCTGCAGAATGTCAACATTAACCATGGGCCTTGAATAATGGATCCACACAATGTAAAGAACTAACCTGTTGAACCAACACGGTGGCCCGTGACCAGTAAATGATTCAATCACATACTCCAGCTCCTGTAGCTGTTGACATGAATATACTGGGGATTTCAGACACTGACTTCTTTTAAAAGTATGTGGCCAGTAGAATATTCCTTAGAGAATCTACTCCTGCCTTGATGCTCATGATGTTGATCACTGGATTGTCTGGTCCAGATTTTGATGATCTACAGACTGCCCCCATTTAGCTGGAATAGTGCAGCATAAAACTGAACTCACTACTCCTGCCATGCTATAGGGATGACAGGCTGATGTAATGTTGTAGACTCATTATACCTCAATGTTCTTTATGTCTGTGACATTTCCCTTTGTTCCAATCATCCAGTGACACTCACAGATATCCTGTGGAACCTGATACATTAGTTTTTCCTTGTTTAGCTGATTGTAAATCTAGTCTACTGTAACATGATCTAATATATTTGTACCAAAGGCTTCACATATCTAATGCTGTTATTCAGTTAGTAATTTGTCTTAGCTATACCTGGGTAAGAAGTTGTGGAAGGTACATTCTAAAATGTTCTTGTAATTGGGGGTTGCCTTGAAACATCGGGTTGCTTCCAATAATCTGAAAATGTATGCAGAAATATAGGCATTTCATAGTATTTGAAGCAAACACTTTATATACTGTAACATTACTCATTACTTACTTATTTAGTAGAGACACTCATAATTAGAGATAAAGGTATTAAAAGAAATGTAGCATTTTTGACAGACAGACAAATTTAATTGTAAATACTGACAATTTGATTTGAAACACAGAACAAGTTTGCCATCAAATATGAAGTGTCCACAATGCCAGCAAAGATAGTACCTGTTGAGCTAATTCGGGGTTGGTGGACATTGTTTGGAGCATGGCCTGCATATACGGAGCCTGCATCATGTTCTGCATCAGCTGAGGGTTCTGGGACATCTGGGACATCAGACTCTGCATGCCAGGTGTGTTGAACATACCTACAGAATGATGGTAACAGTGCGTGGAGGAGTTATACCTTATTTCAGGTTGTTATACAGCCTGTCAGCTTGATAGATTAGCAAACACATGCCGGTCTTATACACTTAACAACACTCTGGTGAAACTCATGACCATATGGATGGTGCCAACAATCCCAGCAACTTCAGGAATGAGGACACCCAACTCCCACAGCAAACTATGTGACATTGCTGATGGTTTATCAGCTTATCTTGACAGTTAGGATTTGACAGAATTGCTCACAGCATCACTGAATTGTCTGGTCAAGACTTGACTGTCTATAGGATGCTGACACATAGCAAGGGTATTGCTGAATGTGGCATTAAACAACACACACGTGAGTCTCACCAAAAGGTCCAGTGGATCCTCCAGTGTCTCCTGCTGTAGTAGATGATGAAGTTGTGGTTGCTGATGTTGTTGTACCTGTTGTTCCTGTTGTCCCGGTAGTGGAGCTGGTGGTGGATCCACCTGCAGCCCATGGGTTTGGAAGTGGAGCAGTGTTTTCACGCCCCTGTTGCTGTTCTCCACCTCCTGCCACAAAAACATCAGTCAATAATGACCCAGCATAAAATCTACATGACACACAGTAAAGTTCAAACAATTTTATTTTACTCATAATGTCCTAATCCCTCTCAGGTCTGCTCTAGAAAAATTCACTGATCTCTTCTGTTGTATAAAAAGCACAATTGTTGAATGACTTAAACAATCTCCAATATTCAACCATATTAAACAAAGATGTCAATTTCAGTTACATTATTCCAACCTTACATCACAATTGGATTCCAATGACAATGCCATCCAGATGATGTAAACAATACAAAGGTGCACTCAAAGAGATATTTTAGTTGTGCACATACAACCTTCATTAACTGTGGTTATTTCTGACCACTTCAGTAATAAATCTATTTACAACACAAACAGGTCATTCCTGCAGATGTTTGTTTTAGTGCCAAGTGAATTGCTGCAGCAATCCAACCACTGACCATTGTTGACCAAGCCCGAGAAAGGATTGTTTCCAAATCCTTCCTGTGCAGCATTCATCATGGGTTCCTGGATATCTCGATACATTCTTTGTAAGGCATTAAAACCTCCGGGGAATACTCTGAAATATGCCAAGCAGTGTCACGGACAGGAATGTTCAACCACTTTAAGGAATGCTCATGTACGCTCAAAGATATAATCCCTTTCTATATTAGCAGATATATATACTTTCTTTGATTTACTTATCGTGAAAGTAAGGTCGTGATATATGTTTCGACATGATACTTGATACTTGAATTTACCCTGTCCAGAGCCATTTACCACCATCAAACACACACAAGTAAATTCAACTACTTATAAATAAAACTGATCTTTGCAGTTAATTTGCACATGAACTACAGGGGACATCTGTATTATCCAAGCCTTGTGAATTCATGGCACGACTACAGTTGTGCACTGATACTACAGTGAACTGTTACAGCCTTGTTTTGATTGTTGTTTATCACTGCCCTCCGCAACACTCCTACCATGAGTGAGTTTAGTTTTACGCCGCACTCGGCAATATTACAGCTTTATGGCGGCTCCTACCATGAGACATCTGTCTGCAATAATTCAAGTCTTGGTCAGACTCAGACAGTCCACTGACTGATATAACGAGCAAATTCTACAGCCTTGTACAATATGACACATGTTCTAGGACAATACAGTAAAGACCTGGTGCTGACCTCAAGGTTACTCATGGCTCTATCCTGTGTTCTCATCAACTCCTGCAACATCGCTGGGTTTCTTGCCAACTCCATAGTCTGTAACAACATTATATAACACACTTGATGGCAATGGTAACCTCACAAATATCCCAAAACAGTATCTTAGACTATTCACACAATAAATACAAGGGCTCATATTTTTTTACAGTTTTCCTGGACATTCTGATACAATACACTTATTACAACAAAGCTCAACTCCACCTACCTGTCGCATTAGTTCCGGGTTGTTCAACATGTGGGTTATCTCAGGATTACGCTGCAATTAAAGTGAAAATAATTAAGAGGGAAACGTACATCAACTTTCAACAAAATAATGTCATAAAGGCTGAAAATCCATTACACAACATACAGGTTATTTAGTGCTGAATCACACCTAATAACTGGTTTATTATGTAATCTACAAAAGACGACACTTCCTTTCATCAATTCTTTCATTAGGGCTGCAAAATAAAGCCACGCAATACAAGCAATGACAAAGTGGTGCAAATGTCAGTTTTCGAAATAATTGCCAGTCATGAGGCCCAGCGCCGGTTGTTATTGAATTTGGCCAGCATTTTCAAATATTTGCAGGCACTTCTGGCCTTCAGTAAATTATCTGCCTATTCTTTTCAACTGGAATCTTTCCCATAAGTTTTTCTTTATTAATATTTGGGAATCATCCATGATCCATCATGTTACGATAACTTACAGTTTCACTTCCTTGCATTTCAGCGCTTTGCGCATAGGAATGTCAACACGAGTCTTCAACAAATAAACACTTCTCTCTGCACCATAGGCTTCGCTAACTGATGTTTGTAGAAACAGTGTGAAACGGTGTAAAGTGTAGTCTATTTTGTTTTTATTGGTTTGACTTTAATAAAATGGGCCTGCAGATTTCATTCAGGGCCTGTAGATTTCAAAGCCTGCAGTCAGCAGCAGGCAGTAAGGGCCAACTGGCAAATTAAAGTATTGCAAACATTGGCAACTGTGTGCATTTTTCACAAATAAAATAGTGTATTTAGCATCGGTACATTACATGCTCAAGTCCATGCAAACCAATGACTGAAAGTATGAGTGGCAGTCCACACCAAAAGGGTCTGATGACACACACAAAACATGATCAGAAAGGCCCTGAAAACCTGGGCTCCATTTACACTACCTCTCACATAAAATGACACGAACTGAAAACTCCAGAATGGACAATTCACGAAAGCTTTTTTTGATATAGATGAAAAAAGCAGTAGCTACAGGGGACATCACTATTTAAAGACATTGACCAAAGAAGTAAAGATCCAAAACTGGAAAACCTTTCTCTTAAAATAAGAGAGACAACCATGAATTGGACATGACCAGCACTTCCCATGGGACAATAACATTCTTCCCTGACTGAAATAGTTCAGCATACCTCCATCAGTTCCCTCATCTGAGGATTGTTTGTAATGAGCTGCCTCATCACATCAGGGTTGGACATCATCTGCTGTACAAAGGGGTTCTCCATCATCTGGCGGAGCATATCAGGGTTGCTCAAAAGCTGCAATAAACACATCAAGACATTTACAGGGAAATGCTGCAGGCCAATTTCTTACACAGCTTAGCATAGTTTCACATATCTTCTTATTCAGCAAGAGATCAATTTGTTCTTGACTGAGTAACTCTGTTCTTTTCTTCATCATTATGAACAGAATCCATATGACAAGTTAAAAGGTTCAATGGTATACAGCGACAGGAGTTGTGCTTTACACTGCAGTGCTAGCCTGAGGTCACCAGTAGCCTTGTTCTCACCTCGGTCTGCATCCTCTGCTGCATCTCCATGAAGTTTGCAGACCCCATCCCCAGGTTGCCCAGGCCGGCCAGACCTCCCAGTCCACCAAGTCCCAGGGGGCTTGCAGACACATTGGGTTGACTCGGGGGAGGCTGTGGGTGGAAAAATACCCATTATCATACCTAAAAATAGGAAATATTTTTTGTGGGGGTTTTGTTGTGCCTGAGGACTAAGCAAAAAGCACCAAAATGCCAAACCCTTTGTAAACATACTTGTAACAACCAAAGTTGAAAAAGACAGTAATGTCACAGGCTTATATAAGTGCCTAAGACTAACTTTGGCCCATAGCGAAAGCATTCCTTTATATCATTCTTTTATAAACAGCTTTGATCTCAGGATAACTAGGTATGCTCTCGACCCACACTGGAATCTGGCAAAACAAACGTATTGTGCATGTTGCGATTAGAGAAGTCTACAAGAGTTGTTAGAGTAACTACAATACCTGTGATGTTGTTGTAGCTGCTGGACGAGATGATGAGGACTCGTTATTCTGTAACAGATGGAACAGACATAAGACTAAGACCCAAACATACTAGGCAAGTGTGTAATGATAACAGAAAAACATGGACTATGATGGAGATCAGTTAAAGGTTTTTATCAGAAGAGCCACTATCATTGGTTAATTTTTCAAGTTCAGGTGAAGGAGAACATCTGTGCTTAAATAACTATAAGCATAAGAGAGATGGTATTGGTAACATCACTTCCAAAATAAAGCCATCAAGATGAATGATCGCGGATATTTATTACAACAGAATGGAGATTGAACACCCTGCAGATAGACAGATATAACAGGAGCAGCTGCAGTGGAGATACCCTATGGAACTGAGGTACACAGCTCACCCTGTTAGCTGACTTGACAACAAGATGCACAGTGAGTCCATCCTTGATGCCATGATGTGTCAGAGTCTCATTCTCTTTCAGAATCTTGCCAGCAAATATCAGACATAGCTGCTCAACTGGGGCACCAAATTCTTTAGAAACCTTTTCTCTCAGCTGAAATATATAACAACATGACAATACATCAAAGCATTAGAAACTGAAGGTTAATAAGGTATTCACTGTTTTCCATACTGTCACTCTGACACAACAAAATACAAATAATCCTGATTGTGATGCATTCTCAACTTTTACAAATGTTTTCCACAACATGCCTGGAAGGTGAAATCATGTTCAGATTTACTGCAGCCATTCTTTCATATCAAGATAGTATAAGTCATAATAACAGAGATTGAAAAAGTGCCTAATTTGCATGCCATGATACATATTGAAATAGCATGGTGAAACATTTTCAATGTGCCCTGGCAGTACGACTGAGATGAAAAAGAATCATATATACCATGATTCATTTAATGAAAATGCTGGGGATTAGTGTTGGGAAATGGTTGAAATCTCACAAGTGAATGTTTGGTTCATTACCAACAAGCAATCATTGAACATAATTTATCGTCATTTTAAAGATTTTTCTATTTAGGTTGTTATTGCAGATAGGTATAACATGGTTCTCTGTTTTTATTAGAAACTCTGCATTTGCATTTGCAAATTTCACATCCAATGTAAAATGATGCAACTTGATATTTTAAACTGATGACTAATATATATGAACATAAACTTCCTGAAATATTCAGTCTTGGCTTTTCAGTAAGTGAAGTGAGTTTTCTAAGAATTAAACACATTTTCAGGCCTTCTAAGATATGTTTCATCGTCAAGGGTTTTAAACACTACAACAGTAGTTCCAAAATCATTTATGTTCGATTATGAGAAAATGTGATTGATTGCTTGGTCGTTAGATCACTACTAGTCACTACGACCAATCTTCGATTATTTCAATTAATCGGAACACCACTACTAGGGATAATAATGACATTTGCTGCAGATATATGGCTGAATATCAAGCTTTGACCAAGGCCAAATACATCCCTGGGTATCTCAGTTCTCATTTCAAGTGAGTGAGATGGAATTAATGCTGTTTCTGAGTGTTTCATTCACATGTTCACATACTATAACACGGGGTAAAGCAAAAGGATTACAGGTAGTAGATATTAATTGCTGCTGTTTGCTACGAGGTCCTGAAAAACAATGATTTAAATTGGATTGATCTAGGATTAAAAATACTGAGTAATCATATCACACCACGGAATATGTCACAACTAAGGGCTACAATTTTCCACATTGAGTTGCTGAACATTTCATCCATGCACAATCTGAAACAATTTCCAGTCATTGCAACTTAATGCAAGGTAGCTGTTCTACTTTCTGTACAAAAATAACCACTTTATCATCATCATCTTCATCATGACATCAATATCATGTACACGAAAACAACAAACATGTCGAAAAGGCAATTTACAATAAAGGAAAGAAATTGGCATTCAGAACAAGTGCCATTCAGGCTATAAATCCTCAATCCCTTAGGCATGAAAGTCATTGTAGAGTACAATATATGTTTCTGACTTGACTGACAGGATGGCCTTGGGCTACAAAGTGTTCACTATGCTTATGGAACTAGTATCTGTATAAATTATAAGCAAGTGCACATTAGTAGATATTTGTAACTAAACCCGATGTCAGAGTCAAGACTGACACCACTACACACAACAGTTTGTTTCACATTCACACACAATGGTGAAGTTGATAAGTAAGTCTAATCTTTACTATGTACTGAAAAATTAATATGATTAACAGGTGTAGAACATATATAGTACCCATTAGATCAGATTGGGTATTAATATAAGTTTGGAGGAGAACCCCCTTAAAACATTTAGACAACAATAACATTTTATCCCTGATCATAAAGTATGACACAGTAAACATGGTAAAAATTCGAACACCTTTGCACACATATAGCTTATTGCTCAATCTATAATTATCCCATGATTCCAAAATGAGACAGTTATACAGAAAAGTATTTGTTTTACTAAGTATGACATACACTCTCAAGAAGTTACCACATTGTGATCAACATTTGTCCATGACCTTAAATCTTAAACACATTAGAAAACTCAAATTATATGCAATGAGTTGGAAATAATGTTTGAGGCAGGGCTCCAGATAAGCTGCGTCTTTGGGTATAATATGCTGTAGAAAAGTTGAAATACGCAAGAAAAATAAATGCCAGTGTATGAAAAAACACTAAATATTTATGTTTATGCTATGTCAAAATACCAATGCGTATGCGTTGCGTATCGTATCAATTCAAGCCAATGAAAATAAACTTAAAGTTTTTCCATCTCAAAATGTTTGCGATTAAAAGAATCTTGAAAACACATTTAAGATGCTCAACACAGATATAATACCAGTCATGGTTTGTTAACCCATCACTGATTGGCCCAACTGTAAATAGCGACCAATCATTAGAGGACTGCTAGATGAATTAATAGGTAAGTGCTGTGTTTCACAATCAGATTTAATTGACGGTGAGATCTTAAATGAATTTGTAACATTAGCTGTTCGCGGCACCAAAACAGATGTAGACTAAGGCACATAATATTTCTTATTTGTTATTCATCTTTAACCTGGAGGATCTTGTATTATCTCTATTATCGAATGATAAAATGTTGCACCTCTTAAAATTGTTATTTGAAATAAATACCCAGATTTTAAAAATAAGGTGGGTATCAAAAAGTATAGATACCCACTTGAAATTGGAAATACCCACTTAGTTTAAAAAATATGAGTATCATACCCACATGGCCAAAAGCTTATCTGGAGCGCTGTGAGGGATATGTTGTGACGAACCAATGGGTTTAAGTCCAAAAAAAAGATTTAGTCACTCCTGAAAAGTATCTGCTGAACCACTGCAAAAAATATCTTTAATCGTTAAATACATCCAAAACCAATTACAGCAAACCAGTTTCGCTCATGACGCAAATGGGTGCTGTCATTCAAATTTTGGAACAAATCATTTAAATAAGGTATTACTCATCCAAATTATCTATACTTGAGGACTGATCGACCCAAATTGGTATGAATACTCCAAAACAGGTCCGAATCTGGCGAGAATTTTAGTTACATGTTAGTCATTTTTCACAGCTACGAATCTTCGTGGGTATGGATCATTTGTTATCCCGCTGATGTGGTGTACTTCAGTAGAAGTCAAAATCATTAGTAACTGTAGCTGGATATTGAACATGACCAAAATATGGTATACATATTATCAAACTTTGTTTTGTACCACACAAACACGATCTCTGATACACTTGATCAAGAGTAGCGAACTTAACTCTGCACTAGTTAAGGATCGTGAAGGATGTTTCAACAGAAAAGGGTACCTAAACAAATTACCATAAACAAGTTCCTGATTGGAAAGGGGATCAAGTACCCCTGACAGAATTATCCCTCAGGACCGAAAAAAATACACACAATATCAGTTAAGTGTGTCCCGTAAATTTCACTATTGTCACTTAATCAACATCATGACAAAATATGATACATCATACAGTTATTATCATTGTCACAGCAACCATCATGATCGTGCATATTTTCATTTTCATTACTTCAGCGTTTCGTAATTGATACCATACTGAAATTTTCTGCACACAAATGACTTCCGACCGACAACATACTACCATAGAGATAACATCTCTATTAAAGCCAAAGTTAGGTCCTACAAAAAGGCATGACTTCGAACGTCACTTGCATCAACATTATCAAGCAATCTAGTGAAAAAGATGATGTATCCGATGCATATTCGGGGCACCTGTTACCACAATATGCGAGTGACGTGGGTCATATGAAATCAACGTGTTAGATCACACAATTACTTATTATACCTCCTTTACTGTAGAATCCACTGATAGTTTTATATCATGTTTTTCTTTCGGTGTTTTGACGGTAACTGTGATCAAAGATCCAGAATTTTCCGTACTCTCCGCCATGATTGTTCTTTTTACTCGGGAACTCTGGGAACGACTGACGGATATCCGGTAACGCCAGGGACCAATCCTTGTTTTAAATTCAGAACATTAAATCAAATTATAACTACCCTATAATTTCTGCTTTATATGGTGATGCTAAAACCCATATATTTATGATCCGCAATGTGTCTTGTGTCAGTAATTTGATGGCTCCTCAGAAAATGCCTAACTCGTTCTCCATTAATTGCATATAAGATAGGGATTAGTTCTTTGGGGAGTAGTACAAAATCACAAGCCCACAACGCATCTGACTTCCTTTTCACACTGGCCGGCTCTGACGAGGAAGCGTGGTAAGTTAGTGTACATGTCGAGTTGTTTATTTTCACTATCATCGCAAGATTGTTTTAAGTCTTTGGGGTGTTGGTTCTCTAGTGCGTATCTTGTCAAATTCGTGCATTGATTATCGTGATAAATGATTGTATAAAAAAATTCAGTTCTCTCATTAGAACGTGTCGACGTGGCGAATAGCCAATACATGCTGGTGACAGGTCAGAGTTGAATTTGCTGATCATCATATGTCACTCACGACGATTAAAGTAAAAAATGACCGTAAAGGTCTCTTAGTAATTATTTGGAATAATACGTGCTGTTTCGTAAAGTCAATATGGAACACAACTGCCTGTGTCCGCATGCACTCTTGATCAACTATGAAGATGTGTTTATTTGTTGATTGCTTGGAAATCGGAGATGCTTCAGGAGCGTTATCATGATTATTTTGTACCTTATACGTTAAGATCACAATACTAAAATTGTCTGTTCATGAGTAGGTGATCAGTTTGAAGTCATAATATACTCCTAGAATGCACTTTACCGGGCGCAGCCCTCGCTGCTCCTTTACGATCCTTAGGGTTAGGGTTAGGCACCCTTTACGATCCTTAGGGTTTAGGGTTAGGCACCCTTTACTATCCTTGGGGTTAGGCACCCTTTACGATCCTTAGGGTTAGGCACCCTTTACGATCCTTAGGGTTAGGGGTAGGGGTTAGGGTAAGGGAACCCCAGCAGCTAATTAGTCTGAAAAAGTTCCCGTGCATTCTTTAATTTGAGACCTGATTAAACAGAAACATCCGTTTCTGATTTTCAGCCATTCTTGGGCATTATGAAGTTGCATCTATAACTATGTTTCAGTACGAATGAATGTGGTGACGACATTATTTATATCCTGTTTACCTGTGTTACTGGAGGTGTGAGATGAATACATAAAAGTGATACAAAAACATGGGATGCAATCAACTTTCATTGCCTCCAGCTTCAGAGTTACTCACACTTACTATCAAATCAGTGTAATCTGGATTCTTATCCAAGGCTATTGTTACTAAGGTCATTAATTATGGCCATCTTCCTGTTGCCCAAGGGCATTTCTTTAGCAGCTATAAAAATGGTCAAACCAATAGGGTTTAAGTACATTGCCCCCAGGTAGCACCTGTCATATAGGTTATGTAATCAGCTGTTTGCTTTAATGGATATGTGCTATATATTTAAGGGTACCCTGGTCATGCCTTTCTTGTATCAGTAGTTTGTTTGGTTGAGTGTTGACCTTTTGGTTTGTCTAACACATGTACAACATATCGACAATTGATTTTGTTTTTTCCAGATGAATCTATTGGTAGCTGCTGTGTTTCTGGCTGTGAGCCTGTTTGTAGTGTGTCCAGCAGAAGATGCTGGTGAAGCTAGGTTATTGGCATCAAAGAACATCCTCAACCAGTACCTTGTAGAAGGCAAAGATTTGACAGTAGAATATAGAATATTTAACGTGGGAGGAAGGTGAGATGTTCTTCTGTATGTTTTCAATGTATATTGCTGACTATTTACCATGTGGAAATTTGATGTTTTGCTTTATTCATGTAAGGAATCTTCATGTCTGTTTCCAGTGATCAGTTGTGAAACTGATTCTAGACTCATGTTTAAGATCTATATATGCATGTGCTGTCACTAGCTAGAATTGTTAAAATGTGATTACAAACAGTATTAGTTCTTGAGTTTGATGAACATTTGTGTGTCTTCATTTTCAGTGCAGCTTTAGGAGTTCAACTAAAAGACGATAGCTTTCCAGAAGCTGATTTTGAAGTTGTGAATGGAAACCTTCAAGTTCAGTGGGACAGAATAGCTCCGTATCCTTTTTATCTAATTTCATATGAGTTTAAATGAGTTTTCTTTATCATATTTATTGTTTTTCTGTTGCTTTGTCATGGAAAAAAAACATACATGAGATGTATAACCTTTGTAATCCTGGACGGTGGGGTAGCCTAGTGGTTAAAGCGTGCGCTCGTCACGCCGAAAACGCAGGTTCGATTCCCCACATGGGTACAATGTGTGAAACACATTTCTTGTGTGCCCCATCGTGATGCTGGATTATTGCTAAAAGTGGCGTAAAAACCTCACTCACTTTGTAATCCTGAAACACACTGAAATAGTGTGGACGTATGATCCAAATCACTGTCATTAATACATAAATACAACAGATTGACATTTTTGTTAATCAGTTTTGGTACATGTAAAGGATGAAATCCTCATAATTGGGTTCAATGCTGTTTGCTCAGTGGAAATGAGTTTTGTAACGATAGGAATATATTTTTCTATGTCATATATTGACAGTATTGTTGCAACATGTTTCTGTTGATGCTTTACCTTAACCCGTGTCAGCAACTCCAATGTGACCCACGCTGTCATTTTAAGGCCAACAAAATCTGGCTACTTCAACTTCACCTCAGCTGAGGTGAACTACAAGGCTTCAGAGGAGGCCACAGAGTCTCAGGTAAAATACACACGTTTTTTTATTTCCTGAGACCTAAGTTCACTGGTAAAGTGACATTGGTCCAAGATGTGTTTAGGAAATGCAATGTCATAGAATAATTTAACAAGTTTGCTGGGTGCCATTTTCTCATTTAACTTAGTGCTACATTTCTGTCCTGACCTTAACGTTAAAGACTGGAATTGTTGAATCAGTACTAACTAGGGGTGTCGCGATACGCGGATGTATCGATGCATTTTTACTGAAGATATGATATGCATTACATGCTTGCGTGTATCGATTCCTATTTTAAAACTTTATCGATTCAAATTTTTATGCTATATCCATCTCCTTCAAAGTCTTGATAGTAAAATTATATGAGACCGCTCCGATAAATAGATGTAGCTAGCTATACTTAAAAAATAGGTTGGAAACTAACAGCTTTTGTGATTGGCTAGACTATTTTGATGGACCAATCAGCGAGCGCGTACATTGCCGGTAAGGTAATGCTATGAAAAGGTGCGAAAATTATGTATCGCGATACGTATCATATCGTGGCTTTAAAATCGTTATACATATCATATCGTTAGATTGGTGTATCGCGATACGTATCATATCGTGGCCTTAAAATCGTGATACATATCGTATCGTTAGATTGGTGTATCGTGATGTACATTAAGATCATGAAGAAAGGCCATTACTGAGGTCATGAAAGCAAACAAACCTACAGTGAATAAACAAGACAGCTGCAAACATTGTACTGTTAGGTATACAAGTATGTAAATAGAGCACAGAGTATTTATCACTAGGTAAGACTCACAAACATGCTACATGGAGGGATGAGTATCATAATATATATCTAATTTATGACTGGATCTGACATGTTTATGTTGACAGTTTGGCTACACCAGTGCTCCTGGAGAAGGAGGTATTGTCAACAAAAAGGACTTTGAGAGGCGCTTCTCCCCACATGTGGTGAGTACACACAGATTATCTGTAGGTCAACATATCACCCAAATCTGCATGTCATTAAATACTCCCAAACTGGAATTGGCATGGTTAATATATATGTTTAATATCTTGATATTTGGTGATATATGGAGCATCTATGGCTTATGCATTGCTGATATGAAAGAATGACTTGAGGGCAATTTTCATAAATGAATTTCTTTGATTGTATGGGATTCTGTGTTTTGATTGGTAGGCAGATTAATATGGATGGAACTTTGAGGAAGATACAGAACACTATTTAGCATTTGTATTTGATATGAATGACAATAACATACTAGTATCACCACAAAGGCATTGAGACTTCAGAACCATAACATTTCTATTTGTGCCTGATGAAATATGTATGAGCACTATTAAGTGTCCAGGAGGAGTTACAAGTGTGTGCCATGTTTCAGCTGGACTGGCTGGTGTTCGCAGTGATGACCCTGCCTTCACTTGGAATTCCCTACCTCCTGTGGTACAGCAGCAAGAGCAGATACGACACTCCAAAACCCAAGAAGAATTAACATTCTATGCAATCTTTAGTCACTCATGCATCACAATATGTTGTCCTTTTTTTTAAAAATAAAACTTTACAAATTTACTTCCATGTCTTTGATTTTTGTGTACATATGGTGCTGAAGACCCTGGAAAGAATATCATATAACTAAGATTGCCTCCTGGGCAATACTGACGGTCTTAAGACTTCTCCATACACTCCCCGTGGCTACCTTTACTTGTACTGTTTCTTTGGACGCCAGCTGGAGCGCCCATTACAGTGTTTTTGAGATTAATTTGGCATTGATTCAATGCTGCTGACACAAACGGAAAATTCACAAACTGCAGAAAAACAAACAGGATGACACAGTCAAAACAAAGCAAAATAATACAGCAATATCTACAGACATATACTAAAAGAGATTACTGGTAAATATTGTAGATTTTGTTGTGGTAAAAAAGTCAGCGTATTCATGTCACAGTCAGACTGGTAAGCAAACTGCTGGAGGGATCACATCCTGCCAATTCCAGAACACTAATTGTTTTGACTGTAGACCTAAGAACAACGGAGTTAAGGCCTGTTAAAGAGGGAACTATTTCTGTTGGCACTGGAAAACCAGGAAGTGGTGATTGTTGCTAGATTTTACGACGCTTCCTCCAGCTATCTCACCACTAACGAAATGCAGAAAGGCCTAAATTTTTTCAACATTGTATCAATTTCAGCATACAGGCTATCATCCCTGAAAGTTTCATGAAAATCGACCCAGAGGTTAGGGTCAGAGCTGTGACATTTTTATGAACACTATAAAAATGCGTTTTGACAAAATCGACCAACTTCCAAGGGTAATAACTCCGACACTATTCAGGATATCGACATGCCTTGAACAAACTAAGTAGTCAGGAGGGTGGGCTTTAAAACGATATGTACTATTTGCCATTCTGGAGAAGAAGATTTTCAAACACAGGCACTGTGAAAACGCGCAAATCAACAAAAATTCAGTTTTTTCAAAATTGTGGAAAATCTATCATGGCAGCAAACTTCCGCTATGCGTTGATTCGATGGGTGAAAATTTAGTAAATTTATCTCTAGTAGTTTTGGAGATATTGAGGTTTACAGATTTCGACATTTTGGGTTATCTGCCCTTACGGGAAACCGGAAGTTGGGATTTATTCGACTGTATCAATTTCAGCATACAGGCTATCGTCCCTGAAAGTTTCATGAACATCGACCCAGCGGTTAGGTCAGGAGAGCTGGTACAAAAAACGTACAAATAATAATAATAATAATTCGGGTAAAAACAATAGGTCTTCCAGACATTCGTCTGAAGACCTAATGACACAAAGAGTCTGTTATTGTAACCCATCTCTCCTCTACATGACCTTGGGGTACCAACTGGCAATGTTCTTGCAAGTTTCAGTTATTTCTTTTTAAGTTTAAAGGAGTTGGTTAGCAGGCAGGTGGCAGCCATGTCAGAGATAAGATTGAGTCTCTGAATGTTACATCTTCAGACATTTAATATCTAAGTTTCAAGCAAGTCAATTTAGAAAAAATGTCGGAAATACTTAAAAAGTAGGGGGGGGAGGACTCAAATGCTCGAATATATAACATGACGTGAACACATGTGCCAAATGCCCAGTTTTCTACTGTTTGCATTTAAGTTCTGTATGAAAGTGTCTATGAATCTGTTTTAATGCACATACCACTGAAAACAAGTTCAAGAACACCCACAGCTTGAAGCATTATTGCAATGTATCAGTCATCTCTGAACCGTGTGTTCCTAAACTAGTTTTCAGCGGTATACTTAATTAACCAGTGCCTGTTGTGTCATGCATCTAGAGTCTTTGCAATGTACAAGGCCAACACTCAGTGCAGATAGCCTTGATAATGGTTGATTCAAGTTCACCAGTTTGTTTGGTGCATGAACATGGCTATGTCACACAAGCTGTTTCAGAGCCATAGTTTGCTGTGTTTGCTGGGGCATCCTGTCATTGATTAGTGAAAACAAAACTTCAGTTTATAAATTGTTGGTGATCAGAGTTTTTATTTTGTTACAACTTCATTATCTGCCAAAATTTGATATTATAAAGGACAAATTTTGAACAATGGTTTGAATTATTTGAATGACAATCCAGATATCAAAGTTCACACCAAAAGAATAAAGAGTGCATAGAGAGTCATTTTCAATATGGCATTCAAAGTGAGTAATTTTTCATTTCTTCTAAATGTTTTAAATTCGACCTTGTGTGTTCCTTTTCCCATGAAATTGATAGTTTCAACATCAGGCATATAAAAATCTCATTACAATTAGGTTTATTTCCTAAATTATAAATCAGCATAAAGTCAACATGTGCAAAATTATACACACTTACTCCAGATGATACAAGTACCAAAGGCTGCAAGAATAAATATCAAACTGGCCATAATACAATGTTTACATTACAGGATGGCGTGACTGGAAGGAGCAATGCCATTACAGGCAGCAGCAATTCAATGATTCAATTTGAGTTGTTCTTTTATGTCAGAAAAGAGGGCTGCCCATGTGAGCTGAAATTACAAACATGGTGATACATTATGATATGATGAATAAGTTGGTCAATGGATGTACGTGTGTCCTCTGGTGTGATAGATGAGCTGGTCATTTGGGCCCATTGTATTCCTCTGCAACTCCTTGGTATCTCCCACAGTTCCACAATTTGGGGCAATCGTCCTTATTATCCTGACAAACAATTATTCAATGACATTACTGAAATACTGACAGAAGTGTTAAATCAAACTCAGTCATGCTTGTCTCCAGATGCAACCAACAGAATCGTATGGTCAGGTAACTGACTTGGTTGACACCCAAAATGTTTCCTCATAGTTGAATGATGATGATGTCAATTATAAACTGCCTATATATAATCAGAGTATTGCTCAATGTGGTATTAAATAACAAGCAATAAATGCCAGTGTCAAGGGCCTTACTATGGTCACCTGAGGTCAAGTATGACAACCAGGAGCTGTTTTTAAGTCCAGTGCTCGAGTAGTGAACACCTGCTCATTTAACACACCACCCATCCCATGCTTACCATAAAGATGACTGATGATGGTAGCGTGGTCGCTGTGTGTCACCACAGTGTGGTTTGTTGTCCATGCTGTCAACCACTGGCTTGCCTGGGCAAGTGAATGAGTGAGTTTACTTTTACGCCACATTCCTCAACATTTCAGCTATATGGCGGCGGTCTGTAAATGATCTACGCAATTGGGATGCGATGATGGCATGTAAGTCAGCGAGCCTGACATCCCAATCCCTCTTACAAAAAGCGTGGGTTACTGAAGATCAATTTTAACCCGGATCTTCATGGGCCAAGCTTATTGTGTATTGTGTACACACAAATCACTATGATACAGTTCATCTAATCAGACACAGCAAACTGGTATTTCAAGAAAACACAATCCAACAACAAAACAGAAACACTTTTGAAAATAGAAAAGTTTTATTATGGCAAATGTGGACTGGTCAAGAATATATACCAAATATTTGCATCAGTTTCACCACAGCCACACATTTGGTTTGATCCCCATTTTTCAATTTTCACTCAAACCTTGCTCATCAAGCAATAACATTACTAGGTGATCACATGTGATACTTTTATCACAAACAATGCTGAAGAAGATAAATATGGGTTATCCAACAATTCATGATTTTCTTTCTCACCAAATATTATAAATGCGAAATATATTAAATTCCACGATAGGAAATTATTAGATGTATAGAAATGATACATTTGTAATAAGTATCCTTGCTATAACAAGTCACTTCTGTTGCCAAATTACATCGTAGAAATAAGACTTTGGTCAACACTTAATGAAACAAATGTTTTGATAAAGTAATGAGTGAATTATAGACTCTTTCTACACAGGTGCATATTCTTTAAAAATCCCTGTGCTTTAGACAGTAGAAATATATATATCACACATTCACGCAGATCAATGCATGATAAGCTTCCAATGTCAGATAATGCTTCCATGCAACTGTTCTTGTATACTGATTAATGTACATGAAATATTGTTGAACTCACTAAATTCTTGCCATGCATGTCATAGCGTTACAGACAGGCAGGTCTAATTGGTTGGCAAGATCATTTACTCTTCATATGAATTATTTTTATATGAAATAAATCTGCTTATATGATGCAGTATTATTATTGCTTAATCAACAGCTTAATTGTTCACCCTTTTCTTCTTGCAAACACTGAAATTCTCACTTCTTAAAAAATGAAGAAACAAGACTACACTTATTGTTGAAGATGTCATTCCTACTATAAGTCAGGTTTTCATATTTACATTGATGAGGAAATTGTCTAAAAATCACAGTTTTTCAATACCTATCCAAAAAGCATGGGTGACAATCAATTGACACTATCTTCCTTACAACTTGGCTTGTTCATTGAAGAGGACCCCAAGCTTCTGGGCCAGCATGATATTGCCCTTCACTTTCAATTTCCCTGCCATGAAGGCCTACAAAACAATAATTATGTGATCAGTCACACATCAATGTAAAAGTTTTGACATCAGAAAGAATAATAAAAGTTTACTATTTCTCGGAAAGGTATTAGATGATTCTCACGGTGACATATTAAACACCTACAAATTTAGTTTTGTTTCCCACGGACAGTCTAGGTCTGAATCGGCCAGAATTTGCCAATAAATTGGTTTATGTGGTTACAATGTAAAACCTGCATGTCAGATGCACATCTTTGACTGGGGTAAAAGTCAACATTCACACATCTGACAGATCATGTATGTGTTACCTGTGGTGGTGCTAGTTTCCCGGTGACTAGGTCCATGATATTGTCATCTGAAACTGTCAGTGTACATTCTGCCTTCCCAGACTTTGGCTTTCCACGGTAGATGTCACCATTCTTTGATGTTTTCATGTCAACAGCTGAAATAACAAAACAGAAACTGATAACTGGTGAGCAACAGTATGATGTATGTTCCATGATATAACTAAGAAATGTGTTTGTCAATTACTGAGGCCAACATAGTTTTAATATGACTCAATATATTAAAAATATAAATAGTGTTTTATTCTGTCTTTCTAGCAATTAAACTTTACCTTATTACATACAGTCAAAGACTTATGTGTCAAAGCTGGCTGGACCTACGTAAATACTTCCAAGTTATCGATGGTTTGACACAACTGTAAAATGATGACTACATAAGGAATACGCAAACACCAAGCTCTCTGCTTTGACAACCATAAGTTTCGAAACAGAAAAGTGTTTAAATGCATTTAACCAGTTTGCATTCACAACCAAATCGAAATTTGGCTCTTACTATTGCCACGAATCAGATCACAACTATATCTGGGTGGAAAGAACAAGAGAAGAGTCATTTGAGTTACTGAAACTAATCTAACTACAGCATGTATAGTAAACATAATCGACATTTCTACCTTGTTACAATGAAAGTTAATGCAGATTATCCATGATTTTCTCCACTCACTCATCAATAACCAGTTGATTATAACTTCTCAAATACTTGACATGTGAATACACAATACCATTTAGAGAGTGGTCAATGTAACATAAGTTATTTTTGGGATTACACTTTCTTAGTAAAGTACAGATTCTAGTACTTTTGTTGGGTTGAGTCCCATCCGGGATTCGAACCCACACCCTGAGAATCAGGCACCTAATCGCCAGCACACAATGTGACAGCTTGATATGTGTTCCACTGCAGAGACACTGGTCACACTGGGACCCCAAATCTTGTTCATGAAAATTTACAGACTCACAAGCAATCTCTCATTGTAATCTTAATCCCTGAATATTGTACCATACACAGAAATATATACAACTGAAAAGGTAAATCATCACATCTAGTGATGGATAATTGCAAATGTCATATCCTCAATGACAGAGTCCTTTTTCCTTGTTCATTCACATGAAATCATTCAAGTGTAACCTTTACATAAGCCAATCCCTTTCTACAAATCCGTTTTCTGGTCCTCAAAATTCAGCTTATCTACAGATATATGCAGTTAGTAAATACCACCAGTACAGTGTATTACGGTCAACCTCTGTAACGTATCCCTTTTGACTCTCTCAATCAGGCAAATTTTGAGAAAGCATTGAAAGATTCATTTGACTGGCATCCATCATTTTCACAAGATTGACCCAAAATATGACTTGACAAACTCTTACTGCTACTTTTCTGTCTTTGGTCTACAGACAAAATATTTTAACAGTTTTTCTTTAATGACATACTGACATAAGATCAATTTCACCTATCATTCACTCACTTCCAAAACATTGTGTTGAACAAGTGCTAATTCACTACAAGTTGTTAAAATGCCAGTACATAATAGGCAGCATACTTACTCCACTCTGAGACAGGTTTACCTCCCTTGGTAATGACCCACATGATGATGGCGTTAATCTTGGAGGCCAGACCTGGCCGGGACTTGACCTGATCTTGCATGAGCTCGAACACTTTGTCACTCTGTAGCTGGCTGGGAGCCTGTACAGACACAACAACAATCCTAAACACAACAAAACACGAGGTTTAACATGTTATATTTGGGATTACACTTTCTCAGTAAATTACAGATTCCAGTGCTTTGTTGGGTTGAGTCCTATCTTGGATTCGAACCCACACTCTCACAGACAATGGGAGCTGGGCAGCTGTGTCAGACGGGAACACAAAGTACATGAACTAGACAACTACTTGTCAGACTTCCAGTCTGTGGCAACCCAAAGAGCTTTATGGTTCACCTGAATACGTTTTAGAGAACATATCAAAAAGATGAACTTACACACAGATGACTCGTCTGAATTAAAGTACACTTCACTTTCAGTTTCCAACAACTGAAAAGGTTAGTCAAGTATGTATTTGTGGGAAAATGTCATTGATAGCAAAGTATGTGTTAAATGTGTCTACACCCCTTGGATCAACTTCTTATTTTGGCACCTACTTATTGTTTTGTTCATTTGAAAATATGTTAAAATGCATTCATGTATTTATTTTATGTTATTCCACTTCAAGAGAAGCCAGAAAATCCTTTTTAGTTCTAGCTAACCTTTAACTAAAACTTCATCACTTGAGTAGATAACATTATCAACAGTTCTACCAACATATGTTTTACATACGAGAGCTTGTTCCTGAACAATGTGCAATGGATAACAACAGTTGACACTCACCACTACAGAGGCTTGTTGTTCACTGCTACCTGTCAAGTCCACATATGCACCGGATAAAGCTGTGTTACCTGTCTCCACTACCTGTAAACATTCATCAATGTCAGGGTTCTGACTGGACCGTCATTTGACAGCTTTACATTTATAAGCAAAATATAATTCAAAAAGCTTTCAAGGGAACAGTTTTGTCATAATATTCATGCATCTTACTTCTTTGAGTGGCATTTATAAATTGGTGTACATATATATGCAAATTATTGTGTAGTAATTCTACGGAAATACAACTTCTTTATTTAATAAACCATTGTTCATGCATATTGCACACCCACAAAAATACAGACTTTACCAATACAAGTACATGCATATATATCTCTACGAAAGCAACAGAAAATCAATAATCATTAACCAGACTCACAGTGAATGTTTATAATACATAGTATATCAAAATATGTCCATGAAGGTTTGTTATGACAAGAAAGTACAGATCAAACATAGAACGTGTGTCATTAGCTAGAGAAACTGAAGGGGACTCACCTTACACTGGAAGTAGATTCTGTTACCCTCCTTCCACATGTCAGTCTGAATACTCTGTCCCGGCAACACAGGCTTCGCAAACCTCACCTGCAACACACAGACTCTACAGTGTACAGTAGTCTAGAAACTGTCCTTGCATGCATACTAGTGGTACAAGTAGGACTTTTAACTTTAACACACATACAACAATGTTATTTGCTCTGAGCACTAAATAACACCTGCAAATTGGAAAATATCATTTGTGACATCACCAATACAAAGAGTTACTGACCACCTATCAGAGTTATTTTATGACATCATGTTACATTAAATGATACTGTATGACTTCCATGACAACTGCACTCACCTGATTAGAAGGACCTAATAATAATCAACTGATTTCAGTAGTAAATGCAACCTTGCACATGGTCTTTTCAGTTAGTCACAGAATGCTCTATCTGTGACACAACGGAGCTTCTTCCAAATGCAATGTTTGTTCTCACTCACTTTAACAGCCTTGAACCTGCTGACATCATTGTTGGCATAACGACGTAGAACATGTCTCACAGCATAGCCAAAGCTGCACAAGCCATGGATGATTGGGGTGTCAAAACCTGGAGATCAGAGCAACACTGATAACATGCTACATGTAACGTATGTTATATTTGGGATTACACTTTCTTTGTAAAGTACAGATTCTAGTACTTTTTGAGTTGAGTCCCATCCGGGATTTGAACCCACACCCTCAGAGTCAGGCACCAAATCGCCAGCACACAAAGTCAGACGCCTAGACCGCTCAGCCACCGCGGCTTCAACAAAAATGGAAGTTGGACAACTGGTAGTCTAGACTGCGGACTTTGTGTGGTGGTGGTGGTGGAATTGGGTTTAACGTTGTGCTTGAGAATATTTCGCTCATATGATGACGTGCATGCGTGTGTATGTGTATGTGCGGCTGCTTGTACTAGCCCAGACTGAAGCTGATTTTATAGTGCTAGCCCACTGTGATACCATGCCGCAGTGAAGCATGAATACCCCACTCAGACACATTATACTGACTCCGTGCTGACCAGTCCTTGATGTACCCATTAATGCCAAGCGCCAGGCAGGGACCTACAAGTACCATATTTTAACGTCTTTTGGTGTGACGCAGTCGGGGATCAAACCCGCAACCTTCCGCACTCCGGGCGGACGCTCTTACCACTACGCGACGGAGGTGGTCGCGGACTTTGTTTACCCCTCTGATAAGTGTTAATTGGCATGGCTCCCACGGCCCAAAGCTATGAAATACACAATGCCATTCTAGAAAGTGGTCATATGTAACATGTTATATTTGGGATTACACAAAGTCCGTAGTCTAGACTACCAGTTGTCCGACTTCCATTTTTGTGGAAGCCACAGTGGCTGAGCAGTCTAGGCATCTGACTTAGTGTGCTGGCGATTAGGTGCCTGACTCTGAGGGTGTGGGTTCGAATTCCAGATGGGACTCAACCCAAAAAGTACTAGAATCTGTACTTTACTAAGAAAGTGTAATCCCAAATATAACATTTGTTACATTTGACCACTTTCTAAATGGCATTGTGTATTTCATAACAAGCTACATGTTGAAAATTCATGAGTGAGCACATGGCCTATGGTTCCCTGATTTGTTGTGCAGAGTTGTGTCCCTTGGGCATGCCAGAGAAATATGATCGTGGGTTCAAATCCTAATTCACCGTAGCTATGTTTCTTGGTCTGACAGCACCATACCCATGCTTGTGGGTTTTGTACCAGAGTGGGAAACATCTGAGCCCAGCCTCCCTTCAGGCTCCTTCCACATACAATGGACACACCATGACGTGACTGGAATACTGTTCAAAGTGGCATAAAACCCAACTTAATCACTCACTCACACACTCATTAATGAGGATAAGAGACAAATTTGGGTCGATTCTAACTGAAAAATACAAAACCATAAGATATCATGTAATATCTACAAAAGTACAACTGTGAAACTTGTCATATGCATCTCGAATCTTTAAAGGTAGTGTATATGATCCCCTTGATATTTTAATTGCATCAAAATCAGCCCACCAGTAGAACAATCATCAGAATGACATATCCTAACAATAGTTAACCCTTCAATGGAGCACTGTTCCTTTGGTTTGTGTAATGGAGATGACCTATGTAAGATAAGCCCTTCAACAAGGCACTGCAGCTTTGAATAGTTTCAGAGAACATATCCATGTAGGGTTTCAACAGAGCATTGCAGCACTGATGTGTGTAAGAGGGTGAAAATACATCAGAGCTCCAGCTAAGATTTAGCTCATGTGGGTACTGTACCCACTGTATTTTTTTGGAGTGGGTATTATTAATGTTGAGTGGGTATTTCATTTTCCGTTACCCACTGCTTTCAAACGTGCGTATTTCAGTCATTTTACTCACCTAAGTATTATGTGACTGAGTAAGTTTACTAAGCAGGTATGTTCTGCCTTATGACTATGTCATACCTAATCCAAACCAACTTAAATATAATGGAAATGAGTTCATAAAAAATCACTCAACCTAAATGGACAGTACAGCACTTGTCCTATACTAACAGTACAACTTGATAGCAATCGATGTCTTTTTCATTACGCAAGCGATTTTTATAAATATACTCCGTACACAATTGTTTTAAACTTTTTGCGTATCTAACATTTTAAATGCATAATTGGTACGCAACAATTATTTTTCAATGCGTAATTGGAAATTTTATATGCGTATTTTACCCGGATACGCAGCTTATCTGGGCCTCTGATACATGCTCGAAACGACAATGAAGCCCCTGATTACCTGCCATGGCAGCAAAGCTTGGGTCAATGTGAAGTGGGTTCCTGTCTCCACTCAGTCTGTAGAGGGCAGCCTGGACAACACAAACACATCATGGACATCGTCATCATGTCATCTTTCATATAAGTAGGCTTAGGTTGTTCAGCAGTTAGCAAAATTTGTAAAATGGGCTTCACACATTGTACCCATGAGGGGAATCGAACACGGATCTTTTTCATGATGAGTGAAGGCTACCCCACGGCCCCTTACTTAGGTCTGAAATGGGTTATGTAATATATATGGGATGCAAGCATCACCAGTGTTGTAGCTCACCTGATCCACATGAGTGCTCTCTGTAATGCTGGCGTCAGGAGCACGAGCCGGCACTGTGGCTGTTGGGATGAGGGCGTCAGATGCCCTCTTGCCACCAAAGTTTCCAGACCCAACCACAAAGATGGAGAACTGATTGAAGGCCACCTTCTCGCCCTTTTCATCAAAGCTCTCGACTAGGGAATCAGAGATATGAGCCATTATAACCCAAGCTTAATCAGAGCACTGTGTACTGTATGTACAAAGATATATAGAGAATCTCACCCGAGTGTCTTTTGATATCAAATATATCACCACGAGTTGATAAAGTTACAAATATTTTTACTTTTATCAACGAGTGGTTGAACTTTATCATCAAAAATCACTCCTCATTAGTTTTCATTGAAAAAAGTACATCTCTGACCACCGTTCTGTCATTAGACTTGCAGTGCAGCGATGTCATAGCATTGTGACGTCATCATGCTCATGACGTCATAGCATTGTCAGGGTATTGTACAAAATCTACTGTCAAAACGATATCTCCTAGGAGATATCGTTTGATCTCACACAAGCGATATCTCCTGTGGAACACACTTTTGGATGATATACATAATATAGCCAACACTATGTTGGTTATGATACACTGTCAGTACGCCTCCTGTCACTCTCTTTTCCTATAGAAACCATACATTATATCCAAGCAATGTCAGTCCTAATTCCTAAGAAACATTACGTGCACATACCATTGTACAGAACCAAAGCTCCTGAGCCTTTGTCCAGGATATCTGCTATCTTGAGTTTACTGGTGATCGTGGCTCCAGTAGGGAGGGGCTTGTACACCTCCAGATACTGTTCCCCATGCAGCACCTGCAACAACAGGGGGATACAAGGGTTATCATAGACTAACAACTACTGCTACAGGCATCCACATCACTACCAGGTGTGGCAGGGTCTTAGCTTATTCAGCACTCATACCTGGCATGTACAAACAACATAATACATCGTATATCCCTTTTCAGCTTAGGTAATTATGAGCTAGCATCTGTGGGTCACTGTGATGCATTTTTTTTATTAAGGCCAATAAGTCTTCTTAAATATATTTTCATGCTGTTGATCACTTGATTGTCTGGTCCAGACTCGATTATTTAGAGACCGTCGCAATATAGCTGGAATATTGCTGAATGCGTGTGAAAAAAAAATTCACTCACTCACTCACTCACTCACTCTGAAACATATTTGTATCTTATATGCAGAGGGGGAAGGAGAAAAAAGGGGGTGAAAATGGAAAGTTGTTCCTTTGACATTCAGTTAGTACAAATAACTTCTAACAAAAGAAAAACTGCTATTTCAGACGTACATTATTAATACACCATTATGAGTGCCGAGTGAGCCAGCAGGTAGTGAAGGTGACGGCAACTGGCCTGCTATGGTCCTGCCTTACCCTGACTGGGTCCTGCCTTACCCTGACTGGGTCCTGCCTTACCCTGACTGGGTCCTGCTTGAGACCGGGGATCTCCTGCATGAGACCCTTCATCATGGTCATCTGGGCAGGGATCACGGCAAATGTCGGCAATGTGCAGAAGGCTTCTGACCCCTCAAACAGGAACTGCAGGTAATTGTCTTCTTTTGTGGACATGCCCACTGCAAACATGTAGGATAAAATTACAGTTACAACTCCTTTCTAAACCAGAATACTGCAAGCGTAGGAACAAGCTTTTGTTTATTTGAATATTTGTTGTTTAACAGCACACTCTGTATAACAATTTTCTGTTTCACAGCTGTCATAGCACGCAGGGTCTGTTTGTTACAATGGGAGTTCACGATCATAGCACCACGACTGTCGTAAGTCTATGTTAAAGTATGGGAGTTACGATCACCTCAGTGCCACGACTGTCGTAAGTCTATGTTAAAGTATGGGAGTTCACGATCACCTCAGTTAAAGTATGGGAGTTACGATCACCTCAGCAGTAAATGCTACGACTGTCGTAAGTCTATGTTAAAGTATGGGAGTTACGATCACCTCAGCTCTATGACTGTCGTAAGTCTATGTTAAAGTATGGGAGTTACGATCACCTTAGTGCTACAATCGCTTTGTGAAATGGCACCCAGGTCTGTAAATCATGGTGTCTGTCGGACCAGGCAGTCCAGTGATGGACATCGTGACCATCGATCTACACATACGGGACATGGTGGCATGCATCAAGACCAATTCTAGCCTGCATCTTCATGTGTTACAAACAAGCTTGCTTAACTCCACACATCAATCTGTTGTTTACATTATACACATCCCTCAAAAGAAGTGACTGTCTGACATTTTGATCTACCTGCAGTCACTGAAAAAAGAAAATAAGTCATAACTTTTCTTTAGGAGTATATATCTCAGGTTTAATGTCCCACCTTTTTGATCGATGAATATAACTCATTGAGAAAGATAGACAGACTTACCTCCCAAAGCATACAGAATAACTTCACGAGGTTCATAGGTGAAGGTGTCAGGTGCAAAGTCATGAGCCTTGGCCAACTCCTGAGGACAGAGTACAACATGATAACTGACTGAGCTCATTCATATGTGCACCTAATAACACCACAGGAATCGACAGACAAGACTTATTAATAATTTTTATATCAATTCAAAATAACTTATCAAAGTTCTCTTCCTTAACAAACCCCAAGAAGATCAGTCACTGATGTAATTTTATGACTTTTTTCAGGATTGGCACAGTTCCTTTCATCCTTGTTAATTAACTTGAAATCAACTGGGCCCTTATTCTCAAAACGTTCGTAGTCCTAAGAATTCTTAATTTTGATCATAGCAAATGTGTTAAGAATGGGCTTAAGAAGTTCGTAGGGCTACAAATGTTTCGAGAATAGCTAGCCTGGAGAATAAGCCAGTTATACTTACAGGATCCATGCCTGTAGACTGTGTCTGCCTGGCTGCTGGTGGTGCTTCAGCTGCTGCATCTATGTCCTGTATCACCTTTATCATCCCGGCTGTGGACTCTGAAACACATTTGATTGGCTCAAGAACTCCTGTGTTCTTCACCAACACTGGGCAGATTGCTCAAGGTTCACAAGACACAGATCTGTCAGATCTTCATGCAGGGAGGTAATGTATCACAGTAAAAGATGGTTTTAATGAGATTTCTCAAATGGCCTGGCATCATTTAAGAATACTCAAATCTAGTCAGTCAGATATTTTATATCACAATGATATGCATAAGGTGGAAAAAATCTTCCCAGGGTAAGGATAAACATACATGATTTTCTTTCAATCCCAGCGTAGGCAGTGTCAAATCTTGTAACTGACAAGTGTAAGTTAAGAAAATACAATTACCTTTGGTCACTGGGAGATCGGGTGAGCTAATTTTTCATTTCCCTTCATCAGGCAGTTGGACTTCAAAAGAGCTTTGTTCTACATTTACATTGATTCTGCCATTTGGAGTACAGGTGAGTTAATCTTGATAAAGTCACCTGAGTTGAGGTGAGTTAACTGCTACATCTACCTTGACCTTGACTGTAACACTTCTAATCACTTACCTTGATTAGAAGAAGGGTGGCTGGACTGTGTGAAGTCTGTAATTTTTTCCCAGTTGTCTCTCACTGGAAATAGATAATGTAACAAATCAGATTTATATCATTTAACACCCTGCATTTGATAGAAGAGCTTATTTACAGCAAGATTACAGCAAGATTCTGCATCTTACAATGACACCTACCATCTTCAGGTGTCATTGCTATGTTTTTCCTCCTGACTGTGGCTCCAAGAGTTCTCTCCCATCTCACTGCAAAATAAAAAACAGACGAAGAAATGAGAGTGCGGTTTTGATCCACACCAAAAAATCTCAGTCAATATGTAAGCAAGTAATATTAGTAACTGTACTTGAGCAGCACATGAATCTGACCAGTGGTGGTTGATGTACTTACATTTTGCCATCCATCCAGCTCCAACCTCAAACAGGGAACCAGTCTCTGGGCAGCTCTCATGACACAGAAACAAGACGAGAGGCATCACATACTCGGGTTTTAGGGCCTTGATCCAGTCTACAACACATAGGACAGTTAGTGAAGCAGCGCCTACATATATATATAGCAAACAAGATTGTCAAACAAGAATCTGAGGCATTTGAACTGTATTTGTTTCTATACTGAGTGAGTGAGTGAGTATGGTTTTACGCTGCTTTTAGCAATATTCCAGCAATAACACAGCGGGGGACACCAGAAATGGGCTTCACACATTGTACCCAAGTAGGGAATCGAACCCAGGTCCTCAGCATGACGAGCGGACGCTTTAACCATTAGGCTACCCCATCGCCCCACAATAATGCTCAACAATTATCCTGTTCAATGCTGTGCTAAAAGCACACAACCTGGTGGCATGGCACCCTAACAAGTCCATTCCTTTACCCTGGTGGCATGAGCTTCCAACAAGGCCATATTTGTCACCTGGTGGCATGACACCCTAACAAGTCCCCTTCTCAAACATGTCAGGATGACCGCTCTAAACAACCCCTCTTTCAATCACCTGGTAGCATGACCCTCCGACAAGTTCCTTTCTCTTACCTGGCAGCATGATCCCTTTCACTCACCTGGTGGCAAATAAGGCCCTTCCCTCATCTGGCAACATGATCCCTAACAAGCCCATTCTCTCCCCTGGTGTCATGAGCTCCCAACAAGGCCATATTTCTCACCTGGTGGCATGAGCTCCCAACAAGGCCATATTTCTCACCTGGTGGCATGAGCTCCCAACAAGGCCATATTTCTCACCTGGTGGCATGAGCTCCCAACATGGCCATATTGAGCTCTCCATATTTCTCCTGGTGGCATGAGCTCCCAACAAGGCCATATTTCTCACCTGGTGGTATGAGCTGGGCCATATTTCTCACCTGGTGGCATGAGCTCCCAACAAGGCCATATTTCTCACCTGGTGGCATGAGCTCCCAACAAGGCCATATTTCTCACCTGGTGGCATGAGCTCCCAACAAGGCCATATTTCTCACCTGGTGGCATGAGCTCCCAACAAGGCCATATTTCTCACCTGGTGGCATGAGCTCCCAACAAGGCCATATTTCTCACCTGGTGGCATGAGCTCCCAACAAGGCCATATTTCTCACCTGGTGGCATGAGCTCCCAACAAGGCCATATTTCTCACCTGGTGGCATGAGCTCCCAACAAGGCCATATTTCTCACCTGGTGGCATGAGCTCCCAACAAGGCCATATTTCTCACCTGGTGGCATGAGCTCCCAACAAGGCCATATTTCTCACCTGGTGGCATGAGCTCCCAACAAGGCCATATTTCTCACCTGGTGGCATGAGCTCCCAACAAGGCCATATTTCTCACCTGGTGGCATGAGCTCCCAACAAGGCCATATTTCTCACCTGGTGGCATGAGCTCCCAACAAGGCCATATTTCTCACCTGGTGGCATGAGCTCCCAACAAGGCCATATTTCTCACCTGGTGGCATGAGCTCCCAACAAGGCCATATTTCTCACCTGGTGGTATGAGCTCCCAACAAGGCCATATTTCTCACCTGGTGGCATGAGCTCCCAACAAGGCCATATTTCTCACCTGGTGGCATGAGCTCCCAACAAGGCCATATTTCTCACCTGGTGGCATGAGCTCCCAACAAGGCCATATTTCTCACCTGGTGGCATGAGCTCCCAACAAGGCCATATTTCTCACCTGGTGGCATGAGGCTCCCAACAAGGCCATATTTCTCACCTGGTGGCATGAGCTCCCAACAAGGCCATATTTCTCACCTGGTGGCATGAGCTCCCAACAAGGCCATATTTCTCACCTGGTGGCATGAGCTCCCAACAAGGCCATATTTCTCACCTGGTGGCATGAGCTCCCAACAAGGCCATATTTCTCACCTGGTGGCATGAGCTCCCAACAAGGCCATATTTCTCACCTGGTGGCATGAGCTCCCAACAAGGCCATATTTCTCACCTGGTTGAGCTCCCACCTGGTGGCCTGGTGGCATGAGCTCCCAACAAGGCCATATTTCTCACCTGGTGGCACCTGGTGGTAGCTCCCAACAAGGCCATATTTCTCACCTGGTGGCATGAGCTCCCAACAAGGCCATATTTCTCACCTGGTGGTATGAGCTCCCAACAAGGCCATATTTCTCACCTGGTGGCATGAGCTCCCAACAAGGCCATATTTCTCACCTGGTGGCATGACCGTCTCAGTAAGGCGAGAACCTGCAATGGGGGCGATGGTGTTGCTGCTGATGTTGTTCTTCTTCCCCTCAATAGACAGGGTGTTGCTCAGACCAAGGAGACCAAGTTTGGCTGCAAGAAGATGAGTTTCAGTTTGTGCTGTATACATCATATCCCTAGCCACATCAGGAAGATGTATCACAATGGGGTTTTAGGATGTAACTTAGGATGTTCAATTTTCAAAACTCAACATATATCAAGGGGTAGTTCATGATTGTTTCGGTACTAAAGTCCTTCTGAATGTCGACGTAAACTACATGATCAGGTTAAAGATGAAAAACATTAAAACATCTGCCAATTCAGACAGAAATCTGAATAATGTTTTTAAGTCTGTCTTTAGTGTTGTACAGAATTATGTTCACCTGCACTATAGTTGGCCTGGCCAAAGTTGCCATAGATACCAGCAGCTGATGTGGTCATGATAATTCTGAAAAAAAACAGAGGCAAGTGTCACATTCCATGAACAACTTAATGTTTGTCATGTTGCAGAGAAATAGATGATGGCACATTAAAAGCAACCAAGGAAAAAGACCATCGATCAAGGTATCGAAGCATTCAAGCCACTCACATCTTGGCGCTTACAGGCGGTGGAATAGCCTTGAGATTATAACAATTGCTCATCACAACAGATTTGATTTCCTGGTATCAACAAGTTGAGTCAAAAGCAGAGCCGAAAGTGAACTACCTTCCATAATTCTGTTTCTTCATGTGCGGCCATGCTGCTCGTGTCACCAAGAATGACCCTCGGAGATGGACTCTGTGGATGAGGTCTGTGGCGCCAACATTACAACAGTGATCAGTTTCATCAGATTGTTTTCGAGGCAGCAAGCATCACACGTCACAACCAATTACTACAGTCAGTACTAAGTCACAAAATACCTATCTAAAACCACACATGTTAATCAGATACTAATACTTAGAATAATCAATAAAACATGGTACTGTAGCAACCCTCAATAAGTAATCCTCAGTTTACAATCTCAACATAGGCTGCCACAAAATAAAAGTTTTTGTTAGTAGCAACATAAGTTCTGATTTTCAGTCATGGGAGTGAAAAAAATGCCACAAATAATGTATCATATTTTCTTAAAATAATGAAACACTGAGGTACTGGACCCGTAAAAGAATTGATTAGAATTAGAATTGATCTTCAGTAACCCATGCTTGTTGTAAGAGGCAACTAACAGGAATGGGTGGTCAGGCTCGCTGACTTGGTTGACACATGTCATCGTATACCAATTGTGTATTCCAATTGCGTAAGTCGATGCTCATGCTGTTGATCACTGGATTGTCTGGTCCAGACAGCTGGAATATTGCTTAGTGCAGCATAAAACTAAACTCATTTACTCACTGAAGTACTGAGGGAGATATTATGGTCAGCAATATTCCAGCACTAACATAGAGGGGTACATCAGAAATGGGCATCACACACTGTTACATCAATTTGGATATTCATGATACCAGTATACTGGTCCTAATGCAATACACTGTAAGTATCTTCTTCACTTTCATCATATACCAGAACCAAAAACAAGCTTCTTCACCACATGCAGCAGCCACTGCCCTCGGTTGCTAATTCACGATATGTCCCTTAATTACTCACTGGCGATTACTAGACCATTTTTACATTGTATTGTCCAAAAATAGTTTTCTTCTTTTAAAGATATATACTAGCTAGTTTTAACTCATTTTGTGATAATCTAGTAATTTTACTGTCCTTCGTTGACAAGGTTTTATATATTATATGTATGTATTATGAATTTAAACTAGTTTTAGTCACGATATGGCTGAAATATTGCCGATGTGACTTTTAATTTTTAACTCACTCACTCACTCACTCACTGCCTTCACACTGGCAATAAGTTTCATGTCCACATGTTAGGTGGACAGGAAGACTTGTTATGTCAGGGTAAGTATACTGAAATCATGATTATCCAAATTTGTGTAAATCACTTGTTATTGGGACACAACACATGATCTTGGGAGGTCATAATGAAATCCATTGGATCTGACTTCCATTTCTCTTTCTGTCTAAGCAAGGCAAAGTATCAAAGAGTCCAGTCTGCAGTCAGACTTTCTGGACAAAGTGGATGATCAAAGGCAGATAACTCATGTTTGCAACCAAAAGCAACAGGCACCAATGATGCAGAAGCATCATGTTTTTGGTTCTGAGCTTCATGATCTAAATGCAAAGTGTCAGGATTAGAAATAATCCAACTCAGCTCTTCTGAATGATAAGCCACAATATAATAGCAGATTTTCCTTTCCTGAAATACACCTAAGCTACTTTCTGTACTTTTCACAGAACAGAGTTTGATAATCCACTTTAATTCAGACCCATACCAACTGACCTAAAAAAATGTTGCACTTTTATATGGCTATTGGTTAAGGTTGCTTCACACAGCCAAAAAACATATGATTTTGTCATCAAAGAAAGACAAACTTTGACTTACCCCAGTCTTGGTCGCTGATCCTGGCAAAAGATTTGTCCCTGAGGATGCCAGCATTGTTCTCAACGACATCTGGCAAACAGAAAGACATGGGAATCACAGCCTGCATAGGTTGGACCTTACAACTATATACATTCTGTGACCTCTGTGACATATGTAGCCATCTTCTCTGGGAGTATATTTAGTGCTGCAACTGTGGTGGATTATTGGAACACAAGTATTTACAAATACCATCATGGTTTGCTCATCCCTACATGGCATGCATGCTTATCAGTGAACACAGTCTAACACACATCTGGGCACAGGAGCATCAACCAAGCACCACCCACTTTTGCTTATATAAGTATGAAAACAATACAAGTTGTATCTGCTTCTAAAACCCAATTTCGTGCATCAAATTGTTAACTGTAACATATTTTACTCTGATTAAACAAAAAGAAAATTGAAATTGAAGTTTGGTAACAATTTACTTGCAATCTGAAAGCAATTGAATATCAACACGATGGCCATGATCAGTGAATAAAATAGTTTTGAAATGTGGCCTGTCCAAGGACCGGCTGTCCAAAAAAGTGACCAATACTGAGTAAACACAGCCAGTCCCAAAAATTAAAACAATAAAAAATCAACAAATGGGGGTTTTCAAACCAAGTTAAGTTTATTTTTTCAAATATTTCCTTTACCGTTAATTACCGTCTATAAGCCGACCCCATATATAAGCCAACCCCCAAACTTGACCCAGTGTCAAAATGGTATGTTTCGTACATAAGCCGATCCCCCGTGATGGGGTCCTAATCGCGGCAAACACAGACCACAGACAACTGGCGGTTACTTTGGTCCACATTATTAAAAAAATTCACAATCATATTGCGTCTACTCACGCATCGAAATGAAGTGTAGTTCACAGAAAATGGATAATATATTTTGTTTTGCTAAATATAATACATATTGTAGTTAGACGATAACATGTCAACAAACTGGCTTGCTTATTACCGCCTAGACTAAGGCTTAGTCTCTGAATATATGTAATTTTGATAGTAACAAACAAGCCCATTTATATTGAAAAGGAGCCCTAGGGAGACCAGAGATTGAACCTGAGGGAATCTAGACTTGCTTTATTTAGGGCTTTAGCACTGCAGAGATGGCGTGGCAGTGGGGAAAATAATGTGGTTCAGGGACTGTGAGACAGACTAATTACCGCCTTGTTTTCCATAGACTGCTAGTTGACAGTAACATCCGTAAAAATGTGTGAATTTAAATGGCTTGCCTATTTTACCCCTTCCATGTGCGTACAAGTTACCACGTTCATGAGGGTCCGCATAACCTTAGTGTTGATTATATATATTTTACATTTATAGTGCAAAAACTGTAATTAAAATTACACAATGCTAGGATATATTTCTGTTACGGCGGCCTGGCCCCTCGCAGTATACTGGTATACTGCTGACTTAGTTCCCGTACCGTAACATAAAAATAGCAGACAGAAACGTAGCTTTAGGCAAACCAAACTTCCACACTAGTGTCCAAAAGGACGTTTTCACAAACTAATATACTAGGAGTCAAAGATGAACAAACACAGGTTGGGTGAGAATGACATTATATTGTTGACATACTCTCTGGAAGTCTAGTCAATATAAATCCTGACAGTTGGCTTATTCAAAGCAACCCCATAGAGCATATGAAGGAGGTGTACCATATTTACCCATGTCCGGCTTCCCGAGGTCCTCCCCAACGTTCCTTAGAGCAGTGGCGATGTTCGGCCCTGACGGGCTTTACCATGGTCTAGATAAGGGGAATGGGCGGACGTTGGAGGAAACAATTAACTGGACAACCCTCTCAGACCCGCCAGTCCCAAGGAATTGTGCTTTTCCAATTCCGAAAACATTACTAACTAAAGTGATGGTAAAGTTATCAATCCATACGTGGATGGCAAGCTGAGAAACTTCCCTATCAGCCTGCCTGGGTAATATAATCATTATATGAACTTAGTATGGGATATAGGGATTTAACTGATGAAATTGAGCTACAGGGAGTAGGTTGGCATACTTTGTAGTGAAGGTATGTTTCCAAGATTATAGATATAACAAAACAGATTACTCACTAAGAAAGGTGAGAACATGATCTTTCAGATGATACCTAATGTTATGGGTGAAAGTTGTGCAGACATGAATAATTAAGGAAAAAGGGCGCGTACATAAAAACACATAACACTAGTTACTCTCACTGGAGTAGATATTCCCGCAGGAATGGCATGTTACCGTTACAATTTCTTTGGGTTAAATAATAGTATTCTGTATCATATTTTACTGATGACTGCGCCAGAATTCATCCCGTTATATTATTGTGCATGTTTGAACTTGATCACCGGGAAATGTGTGCACAGCTTAGTCAGCTGATTGTACGATAAATGTCATAATGACTAATATGTAATAATATGTTGAAATAATGAAAACGTACAGGTTAATATGTATTTATTCATCATTCACAACATAAACGTTGTAATCGTGGCAAACATCCTGGCAGATGTACCGGTAACCTGTAACATCGTCCTGGCAGGGCACTGGCGAGCTAAAAAATATTTCCGTGAAATTGTATCTTATAGATAAGACGACCCCCTTCTACAGACATATTTTTTGGGTCCTCAAAATTCGGCTTATGGACGGTACTTATTTAATAGACCGTCCTTCACAAATATAGATCGTCAAGTACCATGGGACCATATTTTATACACTGCTATGACACCACATGTTTTGCATGTGCATTTCAGTATGCTAGGTTATGATTGATTCTTTGGACCAAAATAAATTGTCCTTGGATTCAAGCGTATGCAAAACAGTTACATGTCTTATGTTTGAAATGTGTATCTGGTTGTATAAATCATATTTAGTCATTACAGACTGTGTACATGTAATCGCATTTAGCATTAACCGCTAAATTGTGTTATTGTTGGCGTCGCCATACTACGTGCCTTTGTTTACAAACATGACCTTGGCACGCGCAGCTGCAAACTTAACGTCAGTACATGACGTCATGAGTTGCTACGTCATCACACTACGCGACAGCTAACAGTGAGTTACCTCACTTCTCGCGTCACCACCGAACTCCTGTCGCGCACAGCTATTAACAATCTAACGTCATCCAACGAAGGACAACACGGGACAGCAGTGGAATCTGCACAGAAAGCCTGCAGGTGGACATTCAAGGACCGACCTTGGATCGTCCTCGGAACACTCAAGCGAAGGTAGGTTTAGCTTGGGTTCTGGTTTACATCAGGGAATTAACAATCCCATTCATATAGATCCAAACTTATTGCTAGCAGCGCCGTCCCTAACGCCCGCGCCTGTTACCCAAACCACAGCAGCGCAGCCGGCGGCAGACGCACACTCTGTGTTTCAGCAGGCGGTAGGCGCGCACACTGTGTTTAATCCAGATATAGCCGCATGCACAGTTCCTTCTGCATCAGCATTCAAGCCACGCTACAATGGCTTTCTAATCTAGCTTCGAGTGAGGAAAATGCTTGCTTGATAAAGATACTACTATCTTCCATACAGAATCTTTTAACACCTGTCACTATAAGGTTCAAAGAAAGCCACACTGAACTCACTTTAACAGTAACATTGTTTATCTTTTTGATCATAATCAACATCTTCATTAAATTGGAGCATGTGCTACAGTTGTTATTAGCGTTATACCTTAGATGTACGAATCTATTTATCAGTGAAACAAGCTATAAATTTATAGATACAGATCAGCAATACTGATTAGTTGCATGCCAGGCACTGATTTGTGAAAAATGTAAATGTCACCCGGTAACCATACTCCAGCTCAAAGAGTGACCATGATGCATTAAACATTTTTCTACTTACACATAAAAGCATGAGAGAATGGAGCTTGAAATTCCTAACGAACAAATACTAGATCTAAAACGGGCGGTGGGGTAACCTTGTGGTTAAAGCGTTCGTTCGTCAAGCCGAAGATCCAGGTTCCATTCCCCACATGGGTACAATGTATGAAGCTCATTTCTGGTGTTCCCTGCCGAAATTCCTAAAAGCGGAGTAAAACTACAGTCACTCACTCACTAGATCTAAAACAGATCAAGGAATAAAGAATTTTGAATAAAAAATATCTATTGATTCAAATTATCAGTGAGTGAGAATGATTTTACACAACTTTAAGCAATATTCCAGCAATATCATGGTGGAGGACACCAGAAATGGGCTTCACAAATAGTACCCATGTGGGGAATCGAACCTGAGTCTTCAGAATGATGAACGCTTTAACCACTAGACTACCCACCGCCCTGACAAGTCTCTACACACCATACAGGAAACTACTCAGTAACAAGTGTTTCTACTTACCAATTCTGCCGAAGTTATCCAGTGCTGTCTGAACCAACTTGTCTCCATCTTCCACTGAGTCTGTGCAGGAACATAGAGAGATATCAGAGAAGCTTGCTTGTAGTACACAATGTATACACTTTCTGCTCCAATAAACACTTACAGTCCATTTGATTTCATTTGAGACCGATGAATTGCTCACTAACACAAAATCTAATAATTGCAACGAAACCAATTTTTGTATGAAATCAACAGACCAACTCTGATGATTTGTCTCATAAGTTTGGACACCCGAATAAAAAAGTTGTTTTAACAAACAATCATTATTTTGTTTGTCACGTTTCGCTATTTCTTACAAGGGAGGCCCACTAAAAAAATTGCTGGTTGAACAGCCAGGTGTGTGAGTTGTGCATGTGAAATTGAAATTTCACAACACATATTTGTTGATTACCTGCTGTTCTACCAGAAAGTGATCCCCCTTTGTAAAAAATACCAAAAAGTGTTATCCATAAAAACGTGTCATGTATTCATGTTCGTCCAACTTCTGAATGCCTTTCAAGAGCTGTATTTCAAGGTTCCTTCATAAGCATGAGATTATAGAATTTCTTGCGATCTTTTTTTATAATGAAGCAACTAGAAACTCCATCCAATCAAAACAATCGTGCACCGAGTGCTTTACATGTATAATGTGGGAAATCAGGCTTTTTGGGGAGTGATTTTGTGGGGGTTTTCATATAAGAAAATGTTTGGAGAACATATGTCCTTTCTACTTCTGAGTTGTAGATGATATCACATAAAGACAGACAGTTGTCAGCCGAAAAGTTTGAGACATTTCAACAACTTTGGAATCTTCATAATGCCATTAAACTACCTGTTTTGAGCATTATTCCAGCAATAACATGATTTTGTACGACATTGTCCCTCAGACAAGAGGCTGAAGAACTATAAGATTTATGCGTGTAATGCAATGGCATGTTTCACAATGAAATAATGACATAATGAATTCGCCACCTAATGACAGTGCCACCTGGAATGGCGGCAGGCGGTTGTGTGTTGTCGGAGCTCCGCAAAGTTTCGATATGGGAGTCGGCATTGAAGCGTGGAGAGCCCAAATTGGTTGTTTTAACCAACCTGCAAAGGTACCCAGAACATTCGTAAAACGCATTTCCATTCATAGTGGAGTAAGCGCAAGTTTCAAGTTTTTTGGCTGGTTAGGGTGTTGCTGTTAGTGGAAATGTAGAACCCAACCCGGGCCCCAAGTCGGGTACACGTGAAACACGACAAACTCGCTTGTCAACACGTGGTCAAGGACATGTGCACATAGACACAGACATATTATCACAACAGGAAAATGCAGACATTAAATGCATTTTAATGGACAGTCAAAAGTGAAGTGGACTTAAATCAGAAAACTATGGAGGAAGTAATTGCAAAGAGTGACAAAATGTCAGTAGTTGTGAAGGACTTGAAACAAGAACAAGACAGCCTATGGGAAGAGACAGAGCAGTTACAAGCTGAAAACGAACAGTTGCATGACAGGTTAGAGAAAAATGAAGCACAGTCTCGGCACAACCTGATTTTGATTTTCTACGGGCTGGACGAAGGTTCAAACAAGCATTGTCACTAAGGTGACATAATCCCCCGCCGCAACTTATGAAATCAAACTTAAAAAGGAATGAAAGTGAAGGTCGTAATTTAAGATGAAGTTAAATGTCAGCAAAACCATGACCAGTCAACCTCTCTTGATATCTTGTTCTGTAGTTGTCCAAATGCACAAATATTTTCAAGACTGACTTGGACCTTGACATGAATGTCTTAGTGTATGAAATATGCAAAAATAGTAATAATTGCTTATTGAAAAACATTAAAGGGAAATCTTGAAAGTCCATGGAGAAAATCCAGTGAACTGTTCTTGAGATTTCTCGCTGACAATCTTAACATGCAGTTTAACATGCTGAAATCTTCAAAGTGTCCCTGTGACCTTGAAAATTCAGTGAAGGTCACCAAAACTGACTGGGCCCTGCGCCTTCCCTGGATGAAGCTTGACGTCAATAATGAAGAAAATCCAGAGAACGGTTCTTGAGATAGCTCGCTGACAAGCTTAACATGCAGCTTAAGTAGTATATATAATGGGGGTACGAAATCAAGTCCAACAAAAGCCTCTGCAAAGCGCTTAACGACATAGGAGACTTAGAAGGGTTCGATTTTCCCATCCCGAACGACGCCGCGTACACCCTGTACTATGACGGCTACGTGTATAGGCCGATGCTTATGGTAGACTTAAAGGAACCCAAATGGTTGGTCAATGTGACCCTCACCGCACCTTACATCTCTTTAAACGAACGTGGATATGTCACCGAAATTAGGAACAACGGCTTCATGCTCACGTCTTTCATTCCAAGTTATGATGGGGTGATAGTTTCTCGAGTACATGGGGGGAAGGGCAATAAGTTAGTTTCATCCATGGAGTCAGAGCTAAGGGCCGACTCCCCCGATGCCATGACTATGGAACCAGGCTCCACACTCATCATAGACATCTCGCTTAATCTCGATATTAATAATTCAAGCCTGCAACTTTTACCCGGGGTGATACTACATCGAAACAAGCGTTTCGCAACACTGTGTTGCTGCATCGTCATACGATTAAACCACCAACGGACATTGATGACACCCTTAATAGCAGGGATGGATGTTAGCATAGACCAGATGGCACCTATTGACTTTTCCCGTATCTTCCTAAACAGGAATCTAAACCTTTTAGGCCTCAAGTACATTGATCAGCTATTAACTGAAGCTCAATTAAAAAATATTTCACCAAATATATTATAGGCACACAGAATTGGTCTATACCCAGTCGTAGAGGAAGTCGCGAAGACCCTGGAAACCGTAGACAGGTTCCGCTTGAGATAGTTATGTGATGTAAAACGCCAACTAGAACAAGACCGCAACACGCGGAAAGCACTATGTAAGAAGTACCATAGAGCTTTCAATATCGTGGATGGGGTTGATACTGCCCTTATGACAACCAGCATGGGACTAGGGGTGGCAGGTGTTGGGTTATTAGCCACCATCGTGGCCGCACCTATAGTGCTAGGTATCGAAATAACAGCTGGGGTGGCAGGGGTGTTAGGGTTGGTGCTTAAGTTTACATCACGCAGAGTGCATCGTAAGGCATTGAAACACGACGAGATCAGGGTTCTGGCCGAAGCAAAGCTGAACACGTTAAGTGAGCGTATTTTCCACGGCACTCACTGACAACAAGATCTCAGAGGAGGAGTTTCGTTCAATTTTATCTGAACTCACAAAATATAACAAAATGAAACAAGAGATTCGATCCAAGTCTCGTAAGTCTGCTATCAGCGAGGATGAGAAAAAAAAGTACATAGAACAAGGGGTGAAAAAAGCCCAGCAAGCCTTTATTACAAACACCAAAGAGATCATAGGCGATTCACATTAAACTGTTTCATCGAGGTCAACACGACATAGTGCCACGTGGCGCAATCCCAGTATAGACCCGTTAAACCGAGATACTTCAGCTAAGTCCCCGGTAGCTCAGTCGGTTGAGTGGTGCGGTTGTGAGGTATACATAGGGGGTTCGTATCCCGCTGGTGTCTCAACTTTTTTATAGGTCGGGAAAGTAGTAGGGGTAATGGGGCGAGATCTAAGGGCCTGACAAAAGCCTTATTTGTGAAATAAGGCTTTGCAGAGGCTTTTGTTGGACTTGATTTCGTACCCCCATTGTATATACTACTGCTTAACATGCTGAAACCTTCAAAGTGTTGCTGTGACCTTGAACATTCAGTGAAGGTCACCAAAATCGACTGGGCCCTGCACCTTCCCTAGGTAAAGCTTGGTGTTGAATATGTGAAAATCTAGTGAACGGTTCTTGAGATAGCTCGCTGACAAGGGTAAAATGTTTAAGTCCCCTTATGACCTTGAAATGAAGGTCAAGGTCACCAAACCTAACTGGGACCCTTCTTATACTGTGGTGAACCTAGGTACCAAATATGAAAAGAATCTAGTCAACAGTTCTTAAGACATTCCAATTCGTACGGACAGAGCCTAATACTATATCCCCTGCTTTACGATCAAAGAAGGGCGGGGGATAATGAAAGCTGGGACCAGAGTGAAATGAAGTTACGAAAGTTCATGGAGCAGAAGCTAGACGTTACTGACGGCAATCAAGATGTTAGTAATTCTACTTTACTGTCAACATATTGTACATTTAACTCTCAGCTTAATACTGAAAGATATTTAACCAGTATAAAATCTATACAATTAAAAAAGGGCTTTGACTTAGTTCAGATGCTCTTCAAATAATTTTAAAGTTACTAAATACAAACATGTACACAACTGATCCATCATGCCCGTATTGCGGAGAAGGTGAAGAAGATGAATATCATGTTCTGTTTATATGTCCATATTACGCACACAGTCGGAAACATTATCTACCTATGTACATGTATTATTATAGCCATCCTTGTACTGCACATTTTGTTACCTAGTTATCAACAACAGACAGTAATCTATTGCTCCGCTTAGCCACCTACTTGTACAAAGTATTCAAATCAAGATTATAGAGTAACATTTGTTGTGTTTGGGGTTGTGCTCTCTTGGTAGGGTGCGGATTCTCAGGCTTTTGGGGGTTGGGTCCCCTCCAGGATTCGGGTCCGCACCCCCGGAGTTGACTGCCTGGTCGCTGGCGCACATGGTCGGCTGCCTAGCCCGCCCAGCCACCACATGGTCGGCTGCCTAGCCCGCCCAGCCACCACATGGTCGGCTGCCTAGCTCGCCCAGCCACCACGTGGGCGGCTGACTCTGTGTGCTGGCGAGTGGGTGCCGGGCTGTGGGGGTGTGGGTCCTGGATGGGACTCGGCCCGGCAGGGGTGCGGGAGTCTGTGCTTTGCTGGGAGGGCGTGATCCCTAATAGAACGTGTTGCATTTGACCACATTCGCAATGGCATTGTGTACAATAGTGCATATGGTATTATCATAAGATTATAGCGCTCTGAAAATGTATTTAACATCTTAAACTACATCTTAAACAGTACTCTAGCAGTGTATAAAATAAGACCCATCCGACCGCCCGAGACTGGATAGATTTCTAGCCAGCCCGATGGACGGGTGAAAAAAAATATTCAGACGTGTCCAAAGGCAAAGATTTAAGAAAGACTGGTTAAATCTCTTCTGGGCTGGTAAGTTTTTGAAGTTACCAGCCGAGATGTCTGGCTGGGGTTTTGGCTTATTTCATACACTAACTCTAGGCTTCCTGGCCTCGAAATACAATAAACTTCTGTTATTCTGTTATAATGAATTTGGCGGAAATTCTCCAGTAATCAAGTGAAGCAGAAATGTCTGCACACATGACTGACTAGTTACTTAGTTCGTACCTGAGTGCGCTGTTGCCAATGGTAAACAGTCCCATATGATGACTGGATCCATGTTTTAATTCTACTGGGCCCAATGAATTTATTCCATGACAAAGAGAACATTCTGCCTGTGATGCCACAATGTAATTACATGGGACACTTGCTTCCTCACACTTGCATTAGAGCAACCTGTTCCATGATGATATTTAACAGCATATGTAATTACAATATGTTGTATGACGAATAATTTGTGCTTATGGCTAATAATATGTCACAATATGTATGACAAAGACATAAAAAATATTGGATTTTTAACTAAATCCCACCAGATGTTCTGCATGTGTAGAAAAATTAGGTTCTAAAACATATTTTATGCATAGAGAAATATTTCGCATTTCACCTTATCTAAAACACAGCTGTAGACATTGAATATGGGCTCCAAGCTATTAACAACTGCCCAAATATGAAACACTGAATGATTTGCTGGTTTTCATGCAGCAAGGAGCAGTTTTGAGTTGTATCACATGTCAGCTTGGTGTATAAGTGATTTAGGTCATGTTTGCAGAAAAATAGGGGTATGGTGCTGAAAACATAAGAAGCTCAACAGGGCGACTGCATCCCAAATATATCCTAGACTGTTATCAGTTACCTCTCCCTAGTGAGGGACTAATAGACAAGAATGTATTCTCAGATATTCAGTTATCTTATTTAAGACATTAAGCTACAAATTAGAAAATACAATCCCAAAGGAGCCCAAAACAATGTATAATTCACAGCTGAGGCAAGACACAGTTGCCAAATTATTCCTGATAATAGTTGGATTCCTTTGTCAACTTGTTTTGTTGTGGACAGAGAGATCAGATGAGAATGAGGGTGTATGGTATTTATTCTTCTCTCTGCAATATTTAAGCAATATCATGGTAGAAAACATTGCCTTCACACATTGTATCCATATGGGAGAATAGAAATCAGGCCTTTTTATCGAATGCTTTAATCACCAAGCTACCCCACTGACCCTTAATTTCCCCATAGTGCAAAGCTGTATGACCAATCATATTTGTACACATTTGTGATGAATTTAATTTGGACATCTTCATGATGTATAATTTTGACAACTTTAACAAAAAAACAATTGGCCTGTTAGAATCCTGTTCTCTACTTATCATACATATGTCATCAAGGATCCACATTAGAAGAGAAAAATTAATACAACAAGCATTGTCACTGAGGTGACATAATCCCCCGCCGCAAATGATCAAATCAAACATATAAAGTAATGAAAGTTTAAGATGAAGGTAAATGTCAACAAAAACATGACCAGTCAACCTCTTTTGATATCTTGCTCTTTAGTTCTTCAAACACACACATTTTCAAGACTGACTTTGACCGTGACATGAATGTCATAGTGTATGAAATATGCAAAAATAGTACTAAAGAAATTGCTTATTGAAAAACATTCAAGGGAAGTCTTGAAAGTCTATGAAGAAAATCCAGTGAACCGTTCTTGAAATATCTTGCTGACAATTCAGGTTAACATGCTGAAATCTTCAAAGTGTCGTCGTGACCCTGAAAATTATGTGAAGGTCACCAAAATTGACTGGGCCCTGTGCCTTCCCTAGAAGAAGCTTGGTGTCAAATATGAAGAAAATCCAGACAACAGTTCTTGAGATAGCTTAACATGCAGGTTAACATGCTAAAATCGTCAATGTGTCGGCATGACCTTGAAAATTATGTTAAGATCACCAAAATCAACTTGGCCCTGTGCCTTCTCTAGATAAAGCTTGGTGTTGAATGTGAAGAAAATCCAGAGAATGGTTCTTGAGATAGTTTAACATGCAGGTAAAACGTTAAAGTCCCCTTGTGACCTTGAAATGAAGGTCAAGGTCACCAAACCTGACTTGGACCTTTCTTTTACTGTGATGAAACTAGGTACCAAATATGAAAAGAATCTAGTGAACGGTTCTTAAGATATTCCAATTCGTGCGTACGTCACGGATGAACAGAGCCTAATGCTATATCCTCCGCTTCACGGTAAACGCGCGGCGGGGATAACAACTTAAAAACATATCTTAATGAAACTCTCATAAAGAAGTTGCTTTCACTCAATTGATAAATACTTGTACTATCATATTAACAGTTTCTGAAAATGTATGGCATAATAATATCAGCTAAATTAACTGGCACATCTATTCTTGATGACAGAGAAATACCTGTGAATTACGTGAACTATGGACATAAATCCCAATCACTCACCATAGTTAGCCACGGCTTTGCCTCCTTTGGCCCTGATTTCATTAACGACGACATCAGCTGCACGGGCTGTCTTACCACCACCATGTATGTCCCCGCCAAGGTCATTGACTGAAATGCAAGCCAAGGTCACAGAAAACATGTCAATGTTGTTTACTACACCAAGGGTCAAGGTCACTGAATACAACACAGGTACAATGTGTCCTAGCTCTGACATGTATTGCCAATACATTACTGTATTTCATAGTAGCAAGCAGTTGTAGACAGATGACAGACAAGAATGGTTCAAATTGTTTATCCACTTAGGACTGATCTCAACAAACTGATGGGTTGCCAATATAATGCCTTCTTGTAATATACATCACATACTGATGGGTCACCATGGTCCTGTATAAAACAAAGAGCGCAGGTATTTTCTTCAGGAAAGGGATGTCATTTTTTGTATTTATGATCCCTTTCCAGGGTTTATCACTTTCATAATGTATATTACTGTAATATTATTTAGGGCAGGAAAAGTAACACTTAGACATTCCATCCACCATAATATTATATATATGACACAGATGTCAGTACCATATCACAGTACCTTTTAAAAACCTGTTCAAAGTATCTGCATGGAATTCACATAAAACATTTATGTTTGCTGAGACTACCAAAAGGTGCATTTCACATAAGAAAACCTGTAATGGAACCCACATCCTTAGGTGCTAGGGGCAGTGAAGTAAAGTGGCATGAGCTGTTTGGTACTGAGGAAGCCAGGCAGGAAAATATGTAGAACTGAATTTCTTCTTTAAAAGAAACTACTGACAAAAGAAAAGAGTTTTCATATGAAAGAGTGCTCTGAATAAAAATATTAGGCTTCCCTGTCAGGAGTCATGTGTTGACGAGTGCTTCTTCAAGGAGCAGGAAACAGTTTGTACCTGTCGTAGGTCTATAACTGTCGTACCTCCTATACTGTAACATAGACTTACGACAGTCATAGCATTACGATAGCTTTGTGAAACGGTACTTTGAGTACTCCTCAATGCACAGCTGACATACTGTGTCAGCCAAAATACTATTTAAACTCAACTAACTCACGCAGTACCAGATACTCACCCACAACAGAGGCACCACGTTCACCAAAGGCTAATGCATAGGCTCGTCCCAGTCCTGTTAATGAAACAATTCAAGACTAAGTTCAGGACAGGTCACTTTCAGCTGGATATTCAATGAATATTATTCGTAACTTGTATCTATTATACAACATATACATACTGTTTATTTCATAATCAAACTGCATTTCAGATATCAGAACTTCACTCATCTTGATCCCTGATAACTGAATAAAGATGTGACTGACACTTTCACAAGCTGAAAGTTACACTTCGTAAACCAGGTTTTTATTTTGATAGACTTTTGACCTACTAAAAAATGGAGGGAAAGCAAAATCTTGCACACATGTCAGTATGATAAATAGGATACAAACAAGATCATAATGAGCTTCCACGGTGCTACAATGGAAGAATTAAAAAATGTTTTCCTCACTCCTAATCATACTAATACACACCGGTATCAGTGTCACTGGTGATTTACATTCAAGCCACGTGTACAGCACTGTTTCATATGCTAATCATGAACTCACTGTGTTAGATATGGTCATAAAAGTTGCAATTATTTCTCACATTTTACATGTACTGCCTTTTCACTGAAAAAATGCTTCTCTGTGTCCAAACACAAAAAATCACAATCAATTATGACATAAACATGGCCAACAGTTGTAGGGCAATCAATAAACCATTTCTGGATAAATTTTATTTGAAAAAAAAAGGAACACAAGTGGATGGCTTCTGTTCAATATTCAGACTATTGGAGGCATTCGGTATGATTGTGAACGTGCATGACCATTCTTCAGCTTACATTAATCTGACTTTGTATTAAATGCCAAGATGGCCAGCTGTACTGACATGAGATCTGTAGAATCTGTCTCCATCATGGCAAATATAACTTCCAAATAAGTATATTATACTAAAAAACTTTTTAGAATGCAAGTGTCTAAAGCACTAGAGCTGCCGGTGCATAGTGACATTCAAGTGTTGCCTGTATCAGGCTTTGGGTACCTATATCAACCTTGGATGTTGTTAACAGGCTTCACATGATGGTAAGCATCTGTTGTTTGCTTTACACTTGGATTCCCTCCCATATCAGTTTGAAGGTAACATCCACCCATCCACTGCTTCATGCTACAGATTGCCTTGCTCTAACTCTGTACAATATCCCACTTCTACTGAGAACACAACAATGTGTATGACACTACAGTGATGACCATCTCCCAAATGTCTACAGACAAACACTTGGTAATTTCTGAAAACCATATTAACCAACATTGTAAACCCAAAGTCACTGTGTTCTTTAATCTGATTGGTTGAAAAACGTGTTTAAATGGTATTCGACTCCCGGAAATTTGCTGCGTATTAATACATACAAACATCGCTCACACCATTGTATTGTTACGTCAAATATTCAAAGTTTGAAATCAAGGAAACAATTTGCATTTCCCTGCGTTTTGCATGTATATCTATTTTGTTTTAGCCTGTTAGCAAAAAGCTTCTCTGGTATATTGTTCTTGAAGTAAGAAGAGAAATAGGCCTTTTCAATTGAACACATCAGTGAAGAGAGGGGAACATTTGTCATTGTTGTTACTTAAAAGGTATAAGTGAAACTTCAATGCCCTGGATAATAAATTGTATATGGGAACCAAATGTCTCTCAGTTGACCATTGTTAACACTTGATAATACATTACATGCTTGAACCAAATGTCTTAGTTTTCTATCCCGATGCCAAATTACTAAAAACATACAATACACAGTATAATGCTTACATCACAAGACAACAAGCATGACATGTACACTTTACCTTTGTGAGAACGATATAGGCACTGAGCTAGTGACAACGTATTCATCACCGAAGGTCACACAAATATTTGATTTATCAACATCATTCGATATCATAATCAGTTCATCTCGAGATAATCTAACTTACTTTGCCCTACATATCAGTAAAGTCTTTTCTGTTTTCCCATCTGTGAAATAAGGTCTTAGTACTGCCACTGTCACAGTCTTTAAACTGTTAGTCTGTCTTCACCTCGTACTATCAATACAGCTGGCATGTGCACCAACCTCGTACTATACAATACAGCTGGCATGTGCACCAACCTCGTACTATACAATACAGCTGGCATGTGCACCAACCTCGTACTATACAATACAGCTGGCATGTGCACCAACCTCGTACTATACAATACAGCTGGCATGTGCACCAACCTCGTACTATACAATACAGCTGGCATGTGCACCAACCTCGTACTATACAATACAGCTGGCATGTGCACCAACCTCGTACTATACAATACAGCTGGCATGTGCACCAACCTCGTGCTATACAATGTGCACCAACCTACAGCTGGCAATACAGCTGGCATGTGCACCAACCTCGTACTATACAATACAGCTGGCATGTGCACCAACCTCGTGACTATACAATACAGCTGGCATGTGCACCAACCTCGTGCTATACAATACAGCTGGCATGTGCACCAACCTCGTACTATACAATACAGCTGGCATGTGCACCAACCTCGTGCTATACAATACAGCTGGCATGTGCACCAACCTCGTTACTATACAATACAGCTGGCATGTGCACCAACCTCGTACTATACAATACAGCTGGCATGTGCACCAACCTCGTACTATACAATACAGCTGGCATGTGCACCAACCTCGTACTATACAATACAGCTGGCATGTGCACCAACCTCGTACTATACAATACAGCTGGCATGTGCACCAACCTCGTACTATACAATACAGCTGGCATGTGCACCAACACGATTAATGTTTAGCATTGTAAGATGAAGGTTGGTTTTATCGGACAGTTTTTACTGTCTTTATAGCTTTAGACTTTATTCCTTGCCCTTGTAACATATCTCATCAAACAATGATGAAAATAATTGTTTTTATTGTTTAGGGCTGGTTATCAATATAAATCATATATCAGATCAACAATTGTTTGAGCAAAATGAAAAAAAACAAGCCGGAAAGAAATCAACATTTTTTATGTTACTGATGAGTTTTGACTCGTTTATGCATTGATTACTAACAAAATCAGCGTTCTGAGGATCATTAAGGAGCTGCCTATAAATATGGGTAAATTAAACTCGTATTTTATCACAATAGTTTATGTGAGATATTACTGATGACAAAATTTTCACAGCAATTATCATTGATAATTCTTCTTATATTTCCAATTATCAATCTTTTTAGACAGACCCGTTAATGTTTCCACCTGTGGAGCCTTTGTCTTACCCACCAGTATATTTAAGCTCGACACCAGAATGCATTGTATACCTGTAAAGAGGATAGCTAAGTAAGACCATGAATACAGTAACAACATGAATGAATTGTATGACAGATTGTGTTAAGGCAGGGACGGGTAACCCGGATACCTGGGACGGGTGGGTAATGAGTTGGACCCACGTCTCAATACCCGGACCTGTTATAATCACGTGACTAATACATTAAACAATGTAATATGTTATTCTTTTACGATTAAAAGGTTGTATTGTCTTTGAAGATTTAGACATTATTTACAGTCACTTCATTTGAATATAACACATGGTTAAGATATTGAAAAACTGAAAATTTTAGCCTCCGAGCTGAAGAATATATTGCCATTTCTTGCAAATTTGATGTCAGGAATTAACATCATGGGTATCGGGGTAGGGAAGGGTAATAGGGGGTACCCGGGTAGAAACATTTGGACCTGTCCCAGACCTAGATTGTGTACTTGATGATAAATTAACGTCAACATTGTGCAATTTTCCAGTTATATGATGGGTGGTTGTAAATAATTGAGTCTTGACAATGAGTATTGATCTACTCAATTGCAATATGATGACATGCATCATCAGCCAAGTCAGCGAGTCTGACCACCTGTTAGTCCCCTCTTATATTAAGTTTGGGTTGCTGAAGACCTATTCTAACTAGCATTTTCATCTATTCACAAAAAATTTATATATATACAGAAGGAAAAAATTGTATCGCAATTAGGGCTGTAACAATGCATCGAACTATCGATGCATTGCAATTGTTGAGTCTGATAGCAATTAATCGATGGTAGAAACGAAAAACTATCCATGCATCGATAGTATGTTTGACTATCGATAGTTTAGTAATTGACTTCCACTGATAAATGTGCAGTGTAAAATACAGGATGTTTGGGTGCAGACTTGCAGCTTCATTGAGTTTATGCTTCAACTGTTTACTTGATCTGGGTTTCAAGTTTCTTGTCACTCCTTAAATGAGACTGAAACTACTTCAACTTGTTTATATTTCATATAAACTACACATTCATTTGGGAAATGACTTCAATTGAGACAATTCAAAGAGAAAGAAACTACTGCAATAGTATTTCAATAGTGGCTCGCAATAAACTATCGCAATCGCAATAGTATGTTGCAATAGACTATGTCTATTGCAATAGCTGTTTCCCCCTCAATAGTCACCCCTCATTACAACACCCAAGTTTTATGACATAACCTACCGGTATATTTAATCACAGTTTATATGTCATGTGCTAAAATGCTAAAAAGACTTTTCATTAACACAAAAGCCAGCAATAAAGAATCTGAATGGTATAATTTGATTAAACATTGGTCCTGTAACAAAACTGAAATTAAGATAACATAATGTGTCAATAAAAGTACGGTCATTCCAAACAGGTAACAAGATGCATAGTCCTACTTCCTGCACCCAATCTACAAATAAGGTCTATAGTTTCAGAAACACAAGACACTGTCAGTATCCTGTGCAACCTCCATCCATCTGGATGACATTTTGAACACTCATCTTCACTGAGTGCACAGGACGCTGAATCCGAGATTGGGGCTAACTGACGAACCTTACACCCCAGAATGTCCCATACATGCTCGATAGGGTTCAAATCAGGGCTTCTGGCTGGCCATGGAAGGGTGTAAATGGCTTCTTGATGCAGGAAATCAATGCCTGCACGCGCACGATGTGGCCTGGCGTTGTCATCCAAAAAGATTGGCCTTGTTGATAGGGGATGATTATCAAAATGAGGCACTACATGCTTCCTGAAGATTTCCTCT